GATTGATTGCAAGAGATATATCAATTAGAACAGTTTTAACCTTTAACTTTATCTATGGTCCAAAAATAGACCATTACCGAAATTCTCAAAGCAATCATTTATTGGTGTGCATACTTCTTCTCTCCGAAATGTTAACTTGTTGTTGATCTAGATTTTAAAAATGGAATAGTAATTTGCAAACACTAATTAATGGTGAAAAATAATAGATGCATTAAGTCAACCTCGAAATAAAACGTGTGAAACGATCTGAACCAAAAACGAAATCATTTAGTATGATTTATAGCTGCGTACGTCAAATGAATTCGTCAACATTTTTGATTTCTAAAGTGATGCGCAACATTTATTATTAGTAATATTTTAAATTAATTAACTTTCGCATAGAATTCATGTCGGTTCAGATAAACTTTGGTAAGCAATGTCATGTCACACGTTGAATTAAGCTCCGCTCTAATCCATTGAAAAAGAAATGAAAAATGAAAAAAAAGACAATACGCATACGCACATACATGTAAAAAACAAGTTCAGTTAAGTTCAAACAAGTTATATGATGTGATGTCAAATACAATGTTTGTGGAATATATTATGAATCGATTGTCAAATGATTTTCATTCATTGTTTTGGTGTAATTTATTCTCAGAATCGCAGAAGGTTATATGAGCGAATGAATTTAATTGTCTGTGACAAAAAAAGACTTGTTGCAAACAAATAGAACTTATTATATGATTAGACACGATAAAATCTCCCCTGAATTTGTTTGGTATAGCGAAGCACAAAGCGTCAATAAGCACAATTTTCAGTGAAGTATGTGTTCCATTTACAAATTAACAGTTAACTTGAATTTTTATCGTTTTATCATTGCCGGTAGGAATGATTTTACTTCAAGCTCTGAATATTCAGATTAGATATTATGTGCTGATGTGTGATGACGAATATATTGGCCTCAGCAAACATATGCATCAATATTTATGTATTGTCGCTACAAACATACTGTGTCACCTAATAGCATTTACTTGAACGAATTCAATGACATATAAGCACATTTACGTCTGAATGTTGAATGGCTAATACTAATCGAATGGTTTCTGTTTCAATTTCGGCTCATTTTCTTGCGAAAAAACGCCGAAGTAGAAAAAAACATAAATTAACAAAATTTGTGAGATAATGTAAGCGCGTATGGTGCTTTAATAAAAAAGCGTCGTCCATGAGGATACAACGCAATGTTGTCGACGTTGCTGTTCAACGACATGTTTGCTGAAGCGCGAATGAACCAAATGAAAGGGACATCATTAAGCGTAATCTCAACTAGTGCTGTATCGTATTAAATTCAACCAGTGAAAAAGGTTATTAATTCAGCAAGGTGACATCATTGGAATTTTGTCTTCATTTCTTCTTTAGGCTGTTCGGAGTTTTTTTTTGTATTGGTGTATTCGACCAATCTAAGAAACAAAATCACACAAAGAATTTCTCTCTGTTGATAATGACAACGGCCACCAAATTATTTCCATATTGTATTCATATAAATATTTATCGATTGAATCGTCACTCACACATCTGCCATGTACAATTGTACATAAAGGCGCTTTAGAATACGACGTACAAGTCGTACATACTGTGTGATAAATCATTTGAAGATATAATTGCATCTGTGGATTTTAGCATCTGAAATGTTTATTAGAAACTGAGAACATATTTGAAACAACAACAACAAAAAATACAGCCACATCCGTCGTAAACTTCTTACAATCTATCATATTGACTGTGGCAAACGTTTCACAGGTGGCATGACATGTAAAATACATCATATTTTTATTGACAACCAAGTTCTAAAAGCGAAAACTATAAACATTTTATGAGCGATGTGGTTTTTTTTTTTCATTTTTCTCAATATGTGCGAGCTAACTCAAATCATTATATTTAGAATCGCTATGAAAGTATGCGAAAATTCATTAAATTGATTGCTTTGTTCATTATTGATTTGGTATGGTTGAAAAACATAAAAAAACGCAAAAAACAAAATTGCAAATTAAACGAAGATTACTTTTTTGGGTTCAAACTCGAACGCACAATATTACAACACCAAAAAAAAAAAAAAAAAAAACAAAATTCGAAATCCTTCAAACTGTATTGTGTACAATGTTGTAAGCAATTTTCCACGAATTAATATCAATTTGAAATATGTTACACGATGCACACATAATAAAAATTGTGTGAAAAATAAATTAATGATAGCCAATGATGGTGTGCTCCATGAATGTCTGTATTTTGAAATACTGACTTTATCGAGCAAAGGACCGAATATTACAAAAACTTTTAACCCTTCACTTTTCTACTAGGCCTAGAGAGAAGATGAAATTTTTTTTATGCACATCATTCGATGATATCGCAATCAAATTGGGAAAATAAAGAAATGATCATCTAATGTTCTTAAATCGATTTTTTAATTTGATTTGAACACATTTTTAAGCTACTCATGCTTTGAACAATTTATCTCTAATTACTGTGCTGTAAACGTAAGAGTGGTTATTTGAAGTGAAATCGCCCAGCAAATTAAAGTGTCGTAAATGGATTCAATTCAAATACCATTCACACTATTATATTTAGTGGAAAATATTCTAATTGAGTAAATTTTAATTGGAGAAATTGTGAAATGTGCACATTTGTGTGTGTCCCTCTGGCTCTCTTCTTATGTTGTTTTGTTATTTTTGGTGAAATTCTGTAAGATTTTTGCACAAATTGTGCACAAACATAAAATTCGCACTCAAACAAAAATATATTCGTGGCCAAACGGTATAATTGTTGATGTTGACATCACTTTGCATAACCATTTTTTTTTCTAACCATTTGGGGTACCACACGTACTAATTGCTAACCAGTTTTATGTGTTAAGACAATGGGAATCTTTCGGCTCGGGTTATTCGAATTATGTCGAACGTTTTTTTTTCTGCTTCTCTTCTCGTTTCTTTCTTTCATTTGCAACGCAAGACTGTGTGTCGAATGTATCAATAAATGGTCATATCTTTGCTGTTTTTGAACTACAAAACAAACACCGAAATAAAAAGAAACAAAACAAAAAACCAAACATAAAATGTATGTACCATATTTGATATGTGCAAATGCTGTGTTATTTTTTCACAAATTTTGACCTAATGTACAATAGTGTGTCCAAAGTTTTTAAGGTACACTTGAGGTACGACGAGCGCACTTGCACATTATGTGTACATTGGTTGTTTGTTTGTATGCGCGCCGCAAAGATAACTTCAATTATGAATAATGAAAATGAAGCAGAAAAAAGAATGGCAAGTGCGATGGCAAAACAAGAAAAAAAAAGAAATATTTCGTTTCTTCAGCTTTTTTGCTCGTAAATTTGCTTTTGCATTGAACCATCTAACATGAAAAATCTGCTTTGTTTACCTTAATCAAGCATTAATATAAGCACTTTACAGTGCGTTCCATGAGCGTGTATTTACGTTAAAATATTTCAACAGTTTTTAGTCTCTCTTTCTCTCGCTCTCGTTCGCTCCCTTTCATTCACATCAACAAAACGATGAAGAAAAGCACACATATACGAACAAAAGATACCGAAAAATAAACAAACGGTGCTCAATAGTTCACGTAAATTATAACAAATATTGTGAGTAATATTTAAATATTTTTTTTTATAATTGGAAACAAAAAAAAAAACCAACAACAAATTATATATAGGTACACTGCATTCAGTCAATGGGATGTGAGTGCAACAATTTTAAATGCTCCACACGCTGGTTTATCCAAATGTGCGGTGTGTCAACTCGCTTGGCTAGAATTTCCCTTTTGAAATTGACCGCAGAGTAAAATCATTGTTTTCGGCGAAATGAATGATCATCAATTTGAATGAATAGAATATAGATATCTAATTCCGTAAGGAATCAGGTGGAAACGGCTTGTCGTGCACGTTACAACTTACATCAGCATTTTCATAATGATTCGCAATAATTTGCTGCAATAAATAGTAGGAGTGAATGAGATAGAGAACATTTGCATTCTCGTTTAAATCAAGTTACGAGATATCGTCGTGAGTATGGGAAGTACATATTTACACGGAAAACTGTTCATTAGTAATATGCAACTAAATATGCAATTACAATTTGTATTTTTTTATTCGCGATCGTTAAAATCCGTAACAAAGGTGCGAACGAACGAGTCAATTGAAAAGCAAAAGCATTCTAAATCAAAAAAAAAAAAAAATCGTGCGATATGAACAACGTTTTGTTTCTTTTCGAATGAATTACCCAATAATCGATGTTAAACGCATCCTTATGAGCTATTGATGATTTATTACGTTTGCTAATTATTATTGATGACACCATTTGTGTTTTGTCATGTGTATTGACCAATGCTTTATTTGTTTTAGATATATATATATACATATTTTTTAATGGGTGCTAGTGGATCATGGTGAGAAATGGAAGCGATTGAATTTGTTTGAAGAGCGAAAAAAAAAATCGTAAAAATGTGCTAAATGATAGCGCAAATATATTGTAAATTTTTCTTTTTTGGTTAAACATACATTGAATTGAGTTCTGTTTTTTCACTTTTTCTGTCAATCACAAAAAGACATCATTTGGAATCTTTTTTTTTTGATAATTATTCTGAAATTCGGTAAGAATAAAGAAAATGATTGTAAGTCATCAAAGGACCAGTTTGAAATTTGCTATTTTGTATCGTCAATGGGCTAGCCATTTGTGCGAATGTGTATGTGTTTGTGGTTTATCTATTGCTGTTAGCACCAACAATTCACGGTCGAGGCATGGTGTCTATATATGTTCGCATGTGCGATGTGACCCATGAATGTGTATGTGCTTGGGAATTAAAGCTGTGACGATATGTGAAATACAACGATCATGTGTGTGTTAACATATCTCTCTCGTACATACATATGTTGCGATCCATAATCTGTATATGAATTCGGTTTTTTCGATGGGAAGGAGTTCGTATATAAACTTTTGTATTGAACATTGAGTCATTTATTCAAATCCATATCACTGACACGTTCACGTTCGTCCGCATAAGTCTCATTATCGATAACTTTTGTTATCGTCCAAAATCACACCATAAAATCGCTATATTGTGAATAGTATCGAGAGAAAAAAGAGAAAAAGAAGGAAAAAAAAAGATTTAAGTGTTACTATAGCAGTTTCTCTTTTTTTCAACAATTCCGAATTGATTTAACGGTTTCTGCAGACGGGATCGGATATTATTTATCAAGTGAGACGTAAATTTACGTTAGAAAAATAATAATACAAGTGATCAAAATAGTGGTGTGGAAAATTAGTTAACTCCAGAGTTCTTATTCCAAAATGTGCAAAGTGTTCCCACGGATTAATTGAATACTTTGAACGTGTTACAATCAGTTTTCATTAAACTGAAAATTTTCCAAACAAATTCAAAAATAAACTGAGGAATTGTAGTAACAATCAAAGTTGATATATAGACACTATCACAGCAATACAAGCAAACGGTAAGTTGGTTAACATTGACAAAATAAAATCCCAACAACACAAAATGATTTCTGCTTATTTTTTTTAAAGCGAATTTGTGTCTAAGAACTGAACGTTATTCACATGACGCGTGTGTTCGTATTTCACAATTATTGTAATCCGCAAAGATGTCAATGATTATGGAATAGTAACAATAAAACATAATTTTTTCTTTGAAAATGGGGATTATCAAGTTAACTTGATTTAAGAAATGAATAAGATAAATCGATGATATCACTAGAGGTGTGATCATCTTATGCTAAATTGATTATTTTGATTTTCCACCGTGATCAATGGAATTATCCAATCAAGAAGTATCGATTACGTATGGATTTGATACGTAACTGGAATTTCCAGATGAACATGATTGATTTTTACCCCTTTAAATGAAAACCACATTTGAATATGCAGAAAATTCCACACCTTCAAATGTTAATTCAAATAATACGATCAAAAGAAAACTGGAACTAAAGAGAAACATTTGGTGATGAAATTCATTAGCTACCGCACCAATGGGTGTGAATACATTTTGTTTTCTCCTAAAGTAAATGCACCCCCTTCCTATGACTTTTATTTCGTATACCGACTTTTAAATTTGTACATTCATCTTCATTAACCCTTTGCGTACCAGTTAAGACTAAAAATGATGTATTTCGGAGGTACAATACTAAACGTTTTTAAAATAGTTCACAAAAAAGATTTGTTCATCAAAGCTGATGCGTAGACGTTAAAAGTGCGTCGGAAATACAAGTAACTAGGGCAAAAAATGTTGTTGCAAAATCAAATCTTTTCGAAATCACGAACTGGCATGTGATATGATGTACAATAAATCCACTTCTTAAGGTTTAACTATTTCAGTGGCGCGAAACTTTTCGTATACTGATTGCCATTGGATATGAAAGGCATAATAATGTAATAGTGCAAATGGAATAGATGGAATTTCTCGCGAAGATTTTGGCAATTTCAGATCCATGTGTTTGTGTGTGTGTTTATTTGTGTGTGTAAAACAGTGGCCAACCGAAAATAGATATGTGTCAATATGCGTTGGTGATTCACACCGTTATGTAATTCAAATAGTTCCTAATTGAACTGTATATTTGCTCGTCTCTTCAAATGTTATATATTTTTCTGGTCACTTTCTTAGGTCTTGTAAAAGAGTTGAATATGAGCCGAACCTTGCCAATTGATTAAGATTATGCTAAATGAAATTCAATATTCAAATGTTTTTTGCCTCTCTTCTAGTAGTCTCTTTGTTGTTAGTCATCTAAAAACACAAAACGTGTCGACAAATTTTCCCACCTTGTAAAACCGCAATATTTGCATATTCTACATTAGACCATGTGTCAGGATATTAGAAACACAAACACACATAAACACACACACACACACACACACACACACACACACACAATCCAAAGAAATAATGAGAAACACTTCCAAAATAGAGGAAGAAAAACACGTATCGATTATGTTTAATTTGATAGCGATCTAATTTACATTGTTTATCATTAGTGTAGCATCATTTCAAAGTTACGCATTAAAGCATACCGAATCTATTCGGTAATTACCAAAATATATACAAAAAAAGTATAAAAGTAATTCTTTACACATCGTTTCAAATTAAAATACAAGATAATTTCACAAGCCGCCGAAACTAACCATCTTACTTTGAAGCAAAATCAACAATACGGCACACGCACTGAAAGCATTATGCAAAGAGTAAATGATCGCTAGCCTGTTTATTTGAGCCAAAGTAATTTCAAAGAAGAGAAGAAAAAAAACCTTTGAAATCGCATCATTGCTTTGCTCAAAGAATACTCAAGGCTAAGCCTTAATCATACCAATTTGTATCATAACACACATCGAAATTGGTTTATTTCGGATGGAATATGTGTTTATAGTTTGTTTGTCACGATTACGATTTTCTAAACGATTTACATCGTGAATCTCATCAAGGTAAATGAACCACGTTCCATGCCATGGCATTTTTTAAGTTTACAACAAATTCCATGACCGAAAAATTTCCCAAATCACATGTAAAATGTAGTGAATCAGCCGCTAATTTTACAATGGAAAGTTATAGCTAAAAAAAATTAGCAAGTTTTTGTTTTATTTGTATCACTTTGGACAGCACTCATATTTACTGCGGCTCAATCAATAATAGTGTGTGACAAATTCAATTTGAGACGACGTCTGGTTGTTTGTTTTCTTTCTAAAATTCAAACATCTTTCAAAATTATTTACATACCAAAGTGAAATGCCACGACCGAATACAATGATAAATTGGATGCAATTTCTCAATAGAACCAAGGACCATTTAATCTAAATTCAGTAATGTTTGTTTGAATTAAGTTATCGTGACTTGGTGTAAGTGTATGTGTATGTGTATGTGCTAAGCGCATGGCTAACACACATATTTTCGGTAATATTTGTTTATAGATGGTCCGAAATGTATTTAAGCATGTAAAAAATAACTATTACTAAATGTCATAATTCGTTGTGAACAATGGACATGGAATGGCGTAAAATCAGCATTATTGTTATGAATTAAACTTGTATATGATTTGTGTGTCTGTGTGTATGTTTTTTCGGTTATTTCGGAAACACAAGAAAAAGTGAAAAACTAGTAATCAACCTATGTCTGGGATTGGACTTGAGCAATATAAAAAAACAGCTATATAATAAATGCAGACGGACATCATATCACATCATATGGGCCAATTCGGTTTTTTAAAAAAAAGACTTTGAGTAAACGATATACAACTAACAACACATTTTCAAATAAACTAAAAATGTGCGTAATTATTACGATTGCACACCAATAAACCAGTATACGGTGCCGTTTTTCATGTTTTCAATATATTTTAAATCGTTTCTGTTTCGTACTGAATCATCATGTTAATGGTCTTTTTGGCTCATTTTAGAGACGGAGAGAATACACTCGATGTGTTTTCTATGACCTTCCAAATTAACCAAAGCAATTTTGTTTTTCTTTCGCACTTGTAACTACAACAGATAATTCATTAGAAAGTTCACACCGTGCACGGGAGCACGGTTGAAACAAAAGCAAAAAGAGTGTTGAAATGCGCTGAGTCACATGAACCCGTGCATGATATTGACGATCTTAATTCAATGGCATCGAGACGATTTTTCCATTTCGATTCATTGCATAATAGAGTTACCTTATCACTAGAATGCGGAACTATTTAACTTGACTCGCATGCTACGTAACTATCTAATATACAATATACGGCCGAAAAATTTATATATATGTATTATCTTCAACATGTTTCTTGTCTCGCTTGGAAAATCTCATGAACTGTTCATTCACTTCATCACCTAACCTTGATAAATCAAAGTCGATGTCGGTGTCACCAATGGTGATTTCAAATGGTTAAAAACCCCGCGTCAACACACGCAAACCATATCACACATGAATTTTTAATGGGGCACCATTGATTCGGTTGACTAATAACTACACAATAAAACCAAACGAAAGAAACAACAACAAAACATAATAATAGTAATGAGACACATTTTCATTCGTGGTCCAGTATTTATGCTACATGTGTTCCACCAATTGGCCATAATCTACCTGTTGCTGTGTGCAAGGTGGTAGCCGATCACACGCAACATTGCTCCAAATGTACCTAACACTCATAAATACACGCAGAATGAATTCATTCAATGAAATTATCCGAAACAAACTGATGAATATTCTTCTTTTTTTCACATCTCAAAGTTGAAAATTTTCAAGATTATAAAATGCTAATATAACCGGCTGTGCCGATCAACAATAAATCAATAGCGTTCAACTATCATCATCAGTATGAAATCGTCATCTGCTTAAGGTTATTTCCGAAAAACAAAGCGATTATACATATCATTTGAATGATATGAACGAAATACATGGATACGGTGAAACATCGATAGATTTCAATCAATCGGCATCGAACGCACGATCTAATGTAATAATCTATAATCTTTGTGAATGTCGAAGTAGCAAAAATAATAACTATAATAAACAGCATAAATTGGTGTTGAGATGAATGTGTGAATGAACCAACCAAAAAGCGATTATATTTCAAGCCATGCAAAAAGTCATTGCCTTACATCGCAAACATACCACTGACGACGAAAAATCTAATACAGCCAACAAATAAATAAATATTCGGACCAACACACAAAGAGATGAAAACTCAATATGTTTGTGTGTTTAAAAATCTTGTTCCTGGTGCGGATAAAACTTGTTTATCACTTGGCAGTTAAACTTTTTGTCGTCTGGCCCATCATTTTTTTCTCTCCTTATACTATGGCCTTAATTTATTTGCAACTCAAATTTTTAATCTCGTCTGAAACGTTATTTCTCTTCTTTTCTTATTACGATTTCTTTTTTTTTCTTGAATAAGAAATGAAGCAAACATACCGCATTTTATAAATTGTGAATTTCTTAACAAACTGGTTTCGAAACAAACCAATTTCTCAATAGAACAAATGTTTGATATTTCATCGATCGATTGGTGGATTTACGGAAATGGTAAATCTCGAGAAATTTCTATCACTTTCTTTCATTGAAGAAAGATTTCTTGGTGAAAGGTTCCATTCTTTTTTTTTTGCATGAGAGTGAGAACACGAACAATTTTTACAATTCATTAGAAACATATACTGATGAGTATGTATTTATTTTACGCACTTCAAGGTCAATGTTCTTGAAAAAACTAGATAGAAATATTCAAAAGCAACCGAAAAAAACCAGTAAATTTTTGATATCGTTACACATATAAGATCGACACACACACACTTCCGAAATAATGGTTCGATAAATATTAATATCATATGTGTATTTGTTTACAACATAATCAATTTAAAATCACATAATTCTAAAACAGCGGCTGGCCTCAAAGAATCCATCAAAATGTTGCATGATGAATCAGCATAATTATCGCGTTTGGCGCATACTTGACATTTAATATCAATTCAGAACAGTAAATGGCAGTTTTACCGTTCGATAGTTTTTATGCTTTAAGATAAAATCATTGTTTTCTACCTTTCCACGTGAAATGTGTTACTTTCCATCCTTTTTCAACTAATTTAATTTTGTTTTCTTCGTTTTGTTTTTCAGACTTACAAAATGGCAATTGAATCAGAAGCATTTGACATGTCGATTCGTCGACGAAAATTTGGCAACTTATCAAATCAATCATCATCATCCGATTTATTGAACAATAATAACAATAACATAAACGAAAAATTGTCCGATAGCAATGACAGTGAAATTGAAAAAGATTTTGATGCTGATGTTTCAACATTGGGACCAGCAGTAAACAAAGTTCTCAAACAAACCACCGAAAATCTATCACATGATGAGGCGCTCGATAAGCTTAAAGAAGTTGGAGCTAAAACGCCCATTCTACCATCGCAAATTGGCACAGATTTTAGTTTCAAACGTAAAATTGTGTGGCCAAATGCAATCGGTTTCTTGATATTACATATGTGCGCACTTACTGGAGTTTTTATGGTGATGCTTGGCATGGCACGATTGTACACTGTCATTTACAGTAAGTACACATTTTATTTGAAATTTTCTTGGTTAATCAATTCAATGTACAACATTTTAACATTAATAATTGATTTTAATTGTAGCATTTGCATTGATGTACGGTTCTGGATTGGGTGTAACAATGGGAGCTCATCGACTTTGGTCACATCGAGCATTCAAAGCAAAAACTCCATTGAGAATTTTCCTTTTGTGGCTCCATACGTTGGCTGGACAGGTAAAAATGAACTCAATTAAAAGAACCTTCTCGATTCTTTCACGCAACGTTTTTCAATGAAATAAATAAATAACTGGCTGTTTTTGTTTGACAGAATTGTTTATATGTATGGGTTCGTGATCATCGTCAACATCACAAATACTCGGACACCGATGCTGATCCGCATAACGCAAACCGTGGATTCTTCTTCAGTCATGTTGGCTGGTTAATGTCGCGAAAACATCCTAAAGTGTTGGAATACGGCAAGAAAATTGATATGTCTGACCTGGAAGCCGACAAATTTATTATGTTCCAAAAAGAGTGAGTATTAATGGATCAAATACGTGCTTAGAGTGAAAATAGACACTTTCTTAGATGATTTTTTTATCATTAATAACCGTTCAGCGTAATTTATACAGCATTTTTTCCGTCATTTCAGACACTATAAATTGCTTTACACCATTTTTGCTTTAATGTTGCCAACATCGTTGCCAATTTTTGCCTGGAATGAGGATCCAATTGTTGCATTGTTTGTGTGTTTCTTTGCAAGAGCTGTAATTTCATTAAATGCAACATGGTTGGTAAATTCGGCCGCTCACTTATACGGAACACGTCCATTTGATAAAACAATTTTCCCGGTTGAGAATATGGTTGTTGCATTCTTTGCTGTTGGTGAAGGTTGGTTAGAAAACATTCGTTTTTTTCTTCATTTTTCTGAGACCGTTTGTTAGAAATTTAACAATTTTGTTTTAATTTTAGGATGGCATAACTATCATCACGCGTTCCCTTGGGACTACCGAGCATCCGAATTGGGATCACCATTGAATGTAACTGGATTTTTAATTGATGTTCTTGCCAATTTCGGTTTAATTTTTGATCGTCGCGAAGCATCAAACAATATGATTAAAAATCGTTCCATGCGAACTGGTGACAGTTCACACAAAGTATATGGCACAGAGGAGGGTCGACGTGCATTTACCACACTATTTAATATGTGGAAACATCCATCAAATCCAACGTACAATTCAATTTACTCACCAAAACCGAAAATTATCAATGCCGATGGTTATGCACTCATCGAAGATGAATTGAGCAAAAATGAAAAGGATGAAGAATTATTATCACGCGAAAATGAAGTGCTCGAAGAGCGTCAACGAAGACTATCACATATTGAAAATGCCGATAAAATTAAAAAGTATATTGTTGAAAAATCGGAAGCCGAAAAAATGATCGGCACTATTACCGATGAAAATGACACGGCCATCAAAAAGTTGAACAATAATAATGAACCCGAGTTCAAACTATTGATGAGCCCAGTGTTAGATAAAAGCCAGTTGAATATCGATGCAGACAGTGCAATTTTTTCAAAGATTTAAATAAAATGAAAAATACCTATCTATATAAAAACTAAATGCTGCCTTACTTTAAAAAAAAAGATAAAAAAAAACGCAGCACCAACAAATAAAAAGATAAGTAAAAAAATAGAATAAAAGTAAGTTAAGAAAAGAAGAGAGAAAAAAAAGCTTTGCATGCACAACATTCATCGATTTTGACTGCACATAGAAAAAAATATATGCAAATATGTAAGTTCATATTAAGAATGATGTAAACAAAAAATGATTAAGAATGATTTAAATATTAGAAGAAAAAAGTTACAAAATGTGAGTGATACCGTTTCTTTATGTTTAGAGTTTATTAATGGTCTGTTGCTGTGGAGCCTCCAGACCGCCTTTTATTTAAGTTGACAGTCGATATCGTGTGTTTTTTTGTAATTATAAATTAATATTGAATTTTAATAAATATTTTTTACAAGTTACATTCCAAGTTTTAGCACTATACTTCTTTTGATTGTTTTGACTTTTAACATTTCTTATGGACACATTAAAACCGAATACGTGACATTTAAAATTGAAAAAAAAAAATGTTTGTGCCGAAAAAAATGTATCGAAAAAAATCTCAACAATAAAAAACACAATTGTAAAATGTCAAAATAAAAAAATAGATATAGATATTTGCGAAAAGATTGTGTGTAATTTTGTTTTTGTTGTGCATCTCTACTATTGTACCTTCATCTCACGGAAACTGCAACCCAACCTGTAAGAAACAGACAATATATTTAGCTGCCGTCATCTGGATATTTCAGCTCATCTGGATGCCGTCAGCAGATGATGCGAAGTGAAACAATAGAAGTGATTGTTATAGTAATAGCAGTATATAACAAGCTTATATACCTATAACAATCACTTCTATTGTTTTCACTTCATATCATCTGCTGACGATATCCAGATGAGCTGAAATATCCAGATGACGACAGCTAAATATATTGTCTGGTAAGAAATAACGGTGTGAGTTCTGAAAAAAGAGAATTCTAAAAAAACACCGTTTTTTCGTTGTGTTTTTTTGTTTTTACTTTTATTTGTTGTTATATGAACAATTCCAATCGAATTGATCGTTATTTAATTTCAAAGATAGATTTTCTATATTGTTTTTCTCCAATTCCAATGAGACATGATATATTTGATTGTTAGTCACAGAGCACATTTCTATTTAAGAGATCTAAAGAAGCGTATTTCAGTTGGATAAAATAATTTTCTTTTAAAAAAAATAGGCACAAAAAATGCGTGATCATCTTCTGTGGCCCGGATAAATTCTTACTTACACTCTGTGATTAACATTTTCCAATCAACTATATTTGGACACCTAAAACTACCAAATTGTTTTAGAATTGATTACTTTTACTATTTAGTTGTTTTTTTTTTATTATTTGTTTCTTTTTGTTTTGGAAATTGTTTGGAAGAATTATACTATATATGTGGGAAAGTGCGAGTTTCTTATATAATAATAAATTTGTAAAATCATTTTGATGCATTACATTTCTTTGATTTGGAAATAATTTGTTTGTTTCATACTCTATATAATGAGAAGATTGAATCACTATATCATATATGTATAATTATGGGAAGTAGTATACTAACGTTTAATGCGTGACGTCATCAATGACGCAAACACACAATGTGCGAAATAACACAATCCATACACGTTAGTTTTATTTTATTCTCTCTCTCTATCTCTCTGTGTTTATTTAATATGGTTTTTTTTTATCGAATTAAAAGTAAAGAAAAAACGACTGGCACACAAAATAACATTGATTAATCACAGAGATGTTTTTTTTGAACGTACACCGTGATATAATTGGTCTTGAGCACAGTAAATTTCGCGTGTACATTGTGAATGAAGTTAAGTGTCATTGATAATGTGACGCCCGTTAGTTTTTGACTAATTGATCGAAAATTCTCGATAAATACTCATTTTTTTATTTCTTTTTTATCTAATAATAATAATAAATTTTGATAATTATATTTAATGCATTTATGCACAGGTACGTAGAACTACTTTGATTATTTCAAGACGATTAAATTGATCAAATTGTTTTGTTTCATGTTTTTTTTTCTTATTTTCTACTAATTTCGAAAGAAAATGGTGCAACAAATAAAAGGCAAAGTTTATCTTCGAATATGAGAGAACGATAAAAACAATCAATTTTCTTTAAAAAAAATAGAACCAAGAAAAGTCAACAACATAAATTGAATATGTGTGAAAATGAAAGGAACTTGAATTAAAGCCACAAAAGACAAAGCCGTACATTTTGTAAATTCAAATCTTTGTTTCATTTACTATGAGTTTTTCTCATTCTTCCTTTGTTTTGTACACAATGAATTCTATGAGGTATAATGGTTATAAAATGCAATATAATTTTCAGCACAAATTCAACGAGATCGCCAAATGTCTGAGATTTTTTTGCTGTTTCGTTGAATAATTGTTTTTTTTTTTGTGTGTGTTTGTGTACGTGAAATGAATTTTACAGGGTATGGTTTCACTGTATCTAATCAGCTAATATCATTATCATAATCTAATAAATGAATATCTCTCGTTTGGTTTCGATCTCTTCATAACTATCTCTCTTTCTTCATATCTTTTATTAGTAACTAGAATGCACTACTTCTGGGCTGGACGTGATACTTTGAGTGTTAATTTGCTTTGTGATGTTTTAATCAAGATAATAGTATCTGTTAAACTCTCAGCTTGGATATTTTCACCATTTATGCATGTAATCATATCACCAGGTGTTAGTCTACCATCCAAAGCAGCTGAACTTCCGGGGGTCTTGAATAAATAAACATTTTTTTTTGTAATACATATTATATTAAATGTTGATGGGGAAATTATTTATTTGAAACGTACGATATCAGTCACCATAATACCGTGACCAGGACAATGCTTGTAATTGAATCCAAATCCCTTGCGATTTCCAATTTCAATTGTAACTTCTGTGCTTGATGGTTCATTACGATAAACTGTCATTTTCACCTACGTTAAATTACATTTTTATTTTAAATAATTCTTTTTCTAATTTGGTCTCTCTCGCAAACGAAAATACCGTTGAAAACATAAGAGCCAAATGTTTACCTGTAAATAGCACCGTTTGAATAATTTCTTGAGATCATACTCTGTCATTTCGGCTGTGATTTTTGTGCCTTCGATTTCGGTGATTTTATCAAGTCGTTGAAGTCTTTTATCAAGATCGGCAGCAAAAGTTGGCTTAACATTCACTATATAAGCACCATTCTGTAAATATTAGATGTACAATTGGGAAAATGTTTTTGAACTGTCAACCATAGCGTCAAATGTTTACTTACAACTGGTGGCGTATACATTTTACCGCCCACTATGTCCAATCCAAGTGGTTTTCCGCCGGCATTTATTTCGATTACAGTATCCTTATTCGGTTGAATTGTCGCTTTGGATGGATCAGCTGGTTTATCATCTTTTGGTTTCTCTGGTTTGTCTGCACCTTCGGTAGAATCAAATTTAGCAAAAATCGAGCGTCAAACATTTAATATACATCAACATCGACAGATGAAATTCTTGTCGAATTTATGAGCGAATTCACCTTTTTTCTCAGATGTTGGTGTCTTTGCTGGTTCATCTTTCTTTTCGTCTTTCTTATCATCCTTTTTATTCGGATTGCACACAATAAGTGTTACAATACCTTCAGCTCGTTTCAATAGAGACGCGGCCTAAACGAAACAATAACCATTATACATATCGATAATGACAAGAATTTGATGATTTTTTTTTCTTCAAACATACCGAATCATAATTACAATCTACCAAAAGATCTTTATTGACGGCTAATATCATTTCTCCAATCAATAATCCAGCCTAAAAAACAGTGAACGTGATAAATAGCTTGACATAATTTCTCTAGTCGTTTGCACTTGAAGATGTACCTTATCGGCATTTGAGCCATCCTGAATGTCTGAAATGAAAATACCTTGGCCCAATTCCGAATGTTTTCCTTCAATAATCATTATTCCTAGACTTGGTCCACTCTAAAAAGGTAAACAAATTCAATGAATTCGACCATTGACTTCGACGATTTATGCAAGTAGAATATATACTATACCTTTTGAATGCTCACAGTGCGTACATTCTTATAGCACGAATGTAAATGATCAAGCTGATCAAAGGCAGCTGGAAAAGTGGTGACCGCTTTAACGGCAATTGTATCCAATGCGGACTCCTTGCGCAATACGAGAAATTCAAGTGTTGTTCCTGGTATTCCTTTGATTAAAACTGACGCATTTAAATGGCACATTTTGTGTACGACTATTCCGTTAATCTATAAAAAGAAATCAAACCAATCCGAGTTCGTTCACCTAATAAAATATTTTTTCGATTGTAGAAAAATGTAAAATTACTTCTAAAATTTCGTCGCCGACTTGGAGATTCTGTGAACTGGCCGAACCTTTTGGATTCAGGCCAGCTATAAAGCAGCCCATTTCATTTCGATTTCGATGTCCAGCCAATGCGATTCCCATGTTATTATTCGATCGATTCACCTTAACACGAATGACGGTTCCCAAACTTCCATAGCGTTTTTTAATTTTTTCTATAATTTTCATAAAATTCGAATGCGTATTGTGTTTTTGCATTTAATCCAACTGATTAATAGTCCTAAAGTGTTATAGTTCAATATGATATACTCACTGTCTGTATATCCAAACTCATTTTCCGGTTCTTCGTCCGCTTTAGACTCTTCCTTTGATCGTTTTACATTGCCGGCTGATTTTCGATCGATTTCTTTGCCAGCTTTCGTTACAACTTTGCCCAAAGAATCTTCTTCCTCAGAATCATCATCGTCGTTCGATGACTCGCCTTCACTACTTTTCGTTGTAGTTGAATTTTGTACATCGTTATCTATAAACATCATTCATCGGCAAATGGTCAATCTTCCTTTATTCTGTTTAAATCGTCTGAATGAATTACTTACTCTGTATGGATGTTTCGTAAGGCGTTTTCTCATTACTTACATCTACTGATTTATTCATTGTCGTCTTATTTGGTATGTTCTGTATACATGTAAGATGCATTTCATATGTATTAAGCTATTGTTTTTTTTTTTTAAACAAATCGACACAAATTTATCGATTAAAAAAAGTATTTTCCATTACCGATAAATCAAAGCTTTGTATATCTAGTTTGATGGTGCAGCCGGCATTTTTAATTAAATTTATTGCTTGTTCTTGTGTTGCTTTACGCACATCATTATCGTTTACAGCTAAAATTCTATCACCAACCTATTTAATTTGGTAAAATGTAATCGACACACAAAAAATTGATGATTTTTTTTTTCAAATTTGAACAAGATAGAAACGAAATTCAAAGAACTGTGATACGCACTTTAATCTGCTTACATAATTCGGCCGGACTTGATTTGATAATATTTTTAATGAAAATTCCTGAAATTTGCTGTGCATCATTGGATATATTGACCTAATTTCGTCATTGCATTTGGTTGATTCAGCATATGATGAGAGCGAAAAAAAATTGAAGAAAAAAATTCCCTTTGAGTATGAGTGTTTTCAATTTGGATCTCTTCCAAAATAGTTTTCTACTATTCAAAAGAGTGTGCGCTGTGCATTGCATACACACAAACACACAAACACGCACACACATTGACGACCGAAAACTTATTGGATGTGACCCATTAGAGTATAATGGCACTTGGTATAACAGAAAAAAAAGTCGGAAATCATATGAATGATGTATTTGATACCGTTCCGCCAACAATGCATACGCCAAATGATGCTCCCAATTCTCTTTTTAATTCCACTTGTACCCTTTTTCCCCAGCCGATTTCTAATCATGTCCATGAGCAGTGTTGCAAATTTAATGCGATTAGTTGTTAGTTCAATGACTGGTTATTAGTTTATTTAATTTTGAATAAATAGATTGTGAATAATTCTATGTGTGTATGGACAATTACTACTAACACCGAAACAAACCACAAATATGAATTATGTCTAATTGAATGGTATTATGCTTTACCTTCATTTTCGTCAAAAGTTTTTTCGCTTGATCGTGTGACTGTCATACTGCATCTGAAAGAAAATAAACACGTTTTTCAACTGTGAAACGAAACAAAATCAGTGCATTTCTGCATTTTTTGGAGTAATTTCCATTGATCGATTCAAAAAAAAAAAAAAAGGAATTCAAACCTTGTGTATTCTTTTCTTTTCTCACAAAAAAAAAATCAAGAAACTTTGCAACTATTTGATCGAAAGCTTGCTTTCGTGTCCAATAAGTCAGATTTTTCACAGATTTTTCTTTTTCTCTTTTATTAACTTTCAAACATTTTGATTTTCTACTTATTTTCTTTTCATAGCTTTCAAGGTTGACAATATTTTACTTTTCCGCACACACCTAGTGTGTAAGGTAAAGTATTGGAATCGGTCGAAAAATTAACACCCATCAAAAATGTGTTTTCTGGGTGTTTTTGGGGGCAGGGAACACGAATCTAGCCTTTTTTCGATGTCCGAATGTATGTGCGTACCCTGTACCCTGTACGCAAAAATTTGTTAACACGATAACTGTCAAACAAGAAAAGTAATTCAAAATTTGACTTCGCAGGATGATTGGGGGTGCCGAGGAATAGAAACCATTAGATTTTGAGCGACTTTGGTTGATACAGTGAAGTGTCATGTCTGGTGTGATGCCCATGGGAAAAAATCAATTTTTCTTCCAAAAATGATATTTAATGTTTTCTTAAACACTCAAAAATATGTAATGAGGGGTTTTTGGGTATGAGAAAACCGAATATGACGTTAGTTTTGCGATACAAATAATTTTCGACACACTTTTCATACAAAAATTTCAAAAATTTTGGATTTTTGTATGAAAGCCATGCCTGTATGATATCGTAATGAGCTGAAACTTTGCACAGGTTATTTTTTTAACACAAAAATAACATTCCGAGGGTTTGAAGAGATTTGAATGCATGATAGGTACCTCCCGAACAAAATTTTGGATGTTTTACTCAAAAACGAAAATTTTGTATGGAAGGTACCACTCAATTGTATTGAAATTTCTTCAAACTTTCAGAATGTTAGCTTATTGTGAAGAAAATAACATCTGCAAATGTTCACATGATTATGATATCATACAGGCATTGAAAAGTCTATCAAAATTATTTGTATCGCAAAATTTATATCAGATTCAGTTTTCTCATGAATTCATATTTACGGTAAAAGATACGTAATAAATGCATGTTGTGGATCACAGTGCGGAAAAGTTCATCTTACAGATGTAAGACATTTTATTTTTTTCTTCGTTAAACCGACACATTTGTTCAAATACGAAAATATTGATATTTGCCGTCATGTTTTTTTTCCTCTTTGCCAAATTCTGTGTTCCGTCATTTGATTTATCGATTTGAATTATTCTCTGAGCCATTGGCTACTCTGTTAAAACATGCAAATATATTTTACACATTAATAATTAATATTCGACTTTTTTACAATATTGTCAATTGATTGGCTTGGCTTATATTCTCATTTTAAACTAACCAAAATATTATTATTCGATCGAAAATTCGGCAATAGCTTATAAAGAACAAAAAAATGGACCAACATGTCAGCTTTATTGAAAGCTGATCGATATATCGATTTATATATATATCTAGGGGAGGACGGGGCGAATTGCTGCACTTTTTTTGGAGCCAAATATCTCAAGGAATATGGCCCATAATAGTAATTGTCTGGTATCGTTTGAAAGGTGGTAAATTTTGTAGAAGAAACAGTTTTGTTTTGTTGTCAACACCTTAAGATATGGTATTGTGCGTGAAGTTGGAAATCACAGGTAGAATCGCCACACCTTTCTGGGGTAAGGTCATATCATATCTTGGAGTTGTGTCGCCAAAACAAAAAAGTTTCTTCTACAAAAGTTACGTATTGAAATCACCTTTCAAACGATACCAGACATTGATTATTCCTAGGGGCATATCGTCATTTGCAAATATGATTTGTTATTGACGCTTCATATTTGTTATTGTTTTACATCAAACGTCAAAACCAGACCGATGTCAAAAAGCTTTTATTTACGCGGCGGATTCACAACCGTCTCCACTAGACAGTTTAAAGTTGTTACGTTCAACCACGTTCATCATTTGCAAAGCGAAAGTTAGGTTAAGTTAGTAATATTATATTTATTTCAGCATAATTTTAATATTTCGGACCAAAAAAAAAGAGTTGATAATATTAAAATTCTAAATATTTTATACTTGAAACGACTTGAAGTTAATTAGTTCAATTTTATTTAAGCCATTTCCAACAAGCTATCTAGAAGGCCAACAATGCCACATTTGTGATACATTTGTATATTTGCTCAACATTTGTTGAATTTGTGATACATTTACTGCATTCATTGAAAGCACAGCATATTTATTCAAAAATGACGCATTTGTTTTCATGATATGCCCCTAGGATTTTTCAAGGCCATTGTCGCTGAGACATTTGCGATTCATCCCATTTTTTTCCACAAATTTTGCGAAAAACACATTTGTCCTTCTAGAAAGTTATCCTCGCAATGTTATTCCTACCAAATATGGAGTACATAAAAATGCTTCTAATGACAGTTGGATATTTTGGAAATCGTTCTCTTGATTCGCCCCTTCCTCCCCTATATATTTAAATTCGAGACGGTGTTCATACGTCACATAATTGGTACCAAAATGATAGATTCGTTGAATAAAACTATACGATGTTAAAGCTCTTCCCATTATGCTAGCATATTCAAATTAAGTGCTTCTGCCGTTGTGCTAATTGAAAATACGGCTAACCATAAGTTTGAGTAAATTTTTATTCTCATCCGACTGGATTCAGCTTGACGATAGCGACATTAAACTCTTGAACTTGTTTTTCTATACGTTTTCAAAGATTCGAAACATCGTTTAATTTGACTATAAATGTGTTGAAGAATCGAAAGAATTTCATTTCATTAGTGCCGAGAAATGCTTCATGGCATTAAATTAGAAAATAAGAATAGATCAACTTTAAATGAAGCAAAAGCAAAGAAAGAATGGGCTTGGTAATTGTGCTTAAGATATAGAATGACATAAATCCATTCAAATGTTATATGCTTTTAAGGTGATAATTATTTGACGAAAACCACGTTGAACACATTATTCGACGAAAAATTGAAAATTAATCCAATTTTAACAAAATAAGGTGAATTATTGGCACAGAGATAATTTATCTTCTATGTTGATTGTGCGAAATTTTTTGAAAATGTTATACTTCTGTTCACTGTGTAAATGTAATTATGTATGTGACGATGGGATGGTTACGTTTTTCCATTTTAAATTCAAAAGCCAGAAGTGGAATTATTTGAATATGTTTCATTCAAAAAGCAATAGTAATTTCAAAATGTCTAATCAACATTTCATGTAGTAATTTTTGTACTGTTGTAGGATGGATCTGTGTATTCTCAATTTTGTGAGCTTTTATGACTTGAAATGTAGTTGGGTATGTTCCCCATCCAGCTGCTAGCTTTTTGAAGAAAATGTTTAAATCATGCGGAACCAATTAACTTTGCTGATATTAATGTTTTCTTAGAAAATGTTGACGCTTGTACGAAAAAAAAGTTTAACAAGTATACGAATACTGCAGTTGGAAAAGTTGAACCATTTTTAAAAATGGCACAAAAACCATACATAAACATTTCAAAAAGAAAAACAAAATAAAGAAGAAGAAAAAAACTCACAGAAATTAAAGTGAACTGAAAATCTTGAAAAGAAACGTTGACAATTGAACGAATTTGAAATCGTAGCTATTGTTTAGTTTACAGAATTCAACAAACAATTGAAAATCAAAAGTAACGAAATTAATTGTATCACACAAATCACTTGGTTTGCTTAGTTTTCCAACGAACAAAAAGAAAATGTTGAACTTATATGCTCGACCAACGATAATGAACTACATGAAAATTAGTATTTTTCTTTTTCTCGATATATTTAGTTAAATAAATGTGATTCCTGTTTGTTTCGCACTTGTTCCACGTATATATCTAGGTATATATGTTTTCCACAACTTTTTTTTTTCATTTGTTGTTTCACTCAGAAAATTACGTTTCATGTTGTTAATTTACATTTGTTTTTGTTTTATCTACAAATACACATTTGTATTTGTAACGTGCATATGTCGAATTCTTCAAGTAACATAAGAAGAAGCGAGTGTGAGAGAGAGACTAAGAGAGTGAGGAAGGGGGAGCGCCACATTGACAAGCCGAACGCTATTTGATATGATGTGTTTGCAACATACCGTACAATAACGCACATGTGCGAAAATATTCATTGTATTTAATGATATTAAGGAAATTTGCTTCGAAGCCGAAGCTCTTGTCAAATGAGTAAATGGATGGTGTGACGATGCAATTTCCATGCAATTTCTCTCTCTCTCTCTCTGCCGTTATCAATTCACATTTTTCATGTTCATTGCATACAAAGTTTGTATTACAAACACACTTACATCCGCCAACCAAATATATTCCCTTTCGTGTTCTGTGAATTTGCATTTCATAGATTTGACATAACCGATTAAAGTAGCGAAGCAGCAAAATCGCCGAAAGAAAAAGATGAATGGAAAAACAAGTAGCACACAGCCTCAATCAATAAGGGTAAATTGAATTGGCTCACATGTTTGTTGAAAATTGAGCGAAATTGAAGACGACGGGTGCTCACACCAAACACGTTAACTTGTGAAGCCTTTGGAATTTTCGTTGTTTTTTTTTTTTTTTTGAATAGAAAATATACAGTTGCTCCGGTCGAAGAAGGTGAACTTTTTTATCCATGCATACATGTACAATTTTCCCAATGTGTCAGCATACAAAAGTGTAGTAGTTCGAAGGGAGCAGAACGAAATGCAAAAAAAACCGCTTAGCAATACGCAAATTAGTACGCAATTGGTATCGATTAATTTTAAGTATAGACTATAGCGCCTTTTGATACAGCCTGTATGTGTGTTTATGGTTTGTATAACTATTACTTTTTATTTCATGCTTCCATTCGAACACATTTTATTTGCAATTTTTCATTTCTCATTTGAACATTTCGGCATGATGAATTAAAAATGTGTGCTTTTTTAAAATTTCATTTCTTCTGTGTTGCATTGAAATAGCACCGACCACATGAAATGCTCATCATATGTGCTGATTTATAAAATCACATCATATCTAATTTGGCACTGTTTACCAGATGAGCATATACGTTGATTTCAATCATCGAATTAACAGCGAAACGAAAACAAGGGAATGTTGCGCGTCATGAAACTGTGTGTTTACATAGTTTTGGGCGTAATTAATATGGATTCATTCATGTCACTAAAATTGTGACTAATTCGTAATTAACATTGAATAGGAAATATATAAGCGCGTATCTATTGCTATTATGATCATCGTCATTGTTTTCATTAAAGTGATTATGAATGAATTAAATGAATGCAAAAGATGTTTGGTTTGACTTGCTACATTCATACTTAACCGTTAAAGACCTACCTCAACAATCATGCAAAACATGAATACACATTTTCACTCACATTGAATAGTATTTTGTTCCATTGATTGATTATGATACATTCAACATAAATTTAATAAAATTAGATAAAATAATGGTAACTAAATTCAAATTCTATAAGTGTCATAGAAAATCAATCTCCTTCAATTTTTCCATTCGAATAGAATGAAGACGTCGACTGTTTTTTGTCATTATGTGCAATACATAATTTACAGATATTATAACACATTAATAGTGAAGTGCTCACCTTGAAAATTCACCTTTATTGCTTTCGGCACCGTCGTCATTTTTGGCCGTTGCTTTTATTGTTGGTGTTACGGTTGTAGTTAATAGTGTTTTCTGTGTCTTATTGGTTCGTTTCTTTTTTATTGATTCAATAAATTCACGACGACTGGTGAATGTGGTAAATCGATCGAGTGTTTCCGTTAGTCGAGCACTTGCTATGTTGTTTAGTTTGCAATAGTTTATTAGGCACTCATATATGTCATTGTAATATTCTTGGCGTAATAATTGACGATCACCGAATTTGGATTCGTTTGTTTGTTGTTGGTGTTGTTGTTTTTGTTGCTTTGTTCTCTTTTCGTTTAACACACCAAAATAAACCTTTTTTATGTATTTCCTCAACAAAACTTGTAATAATTGCTGACGCACTATAATCGATGGTTTTCGTTTGTAAATCTTTTCAGATGATAAAGACATAGTTTTTCTATCGTAAATCGTTTGGGTTACCACAAATTCCGGTCACTCAAATTCATTAGGTGTAAATTAATTCGATATTGTTTGCATTCAATTATGTAGGCATCATGTTTTATATCAATTATTCGATTTCTTTTTTATTTTCTTATTTATTACTTCTCAAATGGAAATTTGGCCTCATCATTTATTCGACGAGTACTGTTGTGCATGAATCGTAGGCTTTGCGATGCAATTTATTTTAATATTCGTTTAATATTCGTTTTATATTCGATTATTTATCTCGCGAATAAATCTGTTTTAAATTTGTATGTTTTTTTTTTCATCAAAATTACTTCAGAACTGCATTATTTAATGTGTGTTTATTTTTGGTCCGTTGTTTAATTCAATAAAATTAAAATAATCCTTAGATTGTCCGTGAGTTTTGGCTCGATTGGCGAATCCTTCGTGAATGAAATGATTTTTCCTTGAATTTTGATACTTGGTCATCCATTTTTTTTACCTTTAACTTTTGGCGAAACCAAAAGTTTTTCAATAAAAAAAGGACCAAACAAACTTAAATCTTAAATCAGCGTTTTATGTCATTTGTCACTAAATAATTTAACAATAATTTCTAAATTCTTTTCGTTCCATCTTCTTTTTTTTTCTTCTTCTCTCCATACACCTTGTTTTGATAAGACTTCTGATACGAGGACAGCACACACAATCAAACACGAAATGAGAAAAATCTGCAAGTATTCAATTGGAAAAGTAGAGAAAGATAGAGAAAAGTGTGGGTGGTTGTGTAAACTGCGCGTATTTGTTGTGCATATATTTTTTTTTATACATAAATTGCTTCCAAATGTGGATATAGTATTTGTGTGTACGTGTAAAGGACATGAGTAAAGGAATGTTATACACAGAGAGATAGAATATGAGAAAAATGTGAAGACAAGAAGAGATGCAATGATAGATCCAGTTACGGTAAACTTTGTGCGCTACATAACATCATCAACAGAAAGAGCATATTTTTTTTTGTTTTGAATTAAATAAATTGTCATGCAAATTGAAACATAAATAAACAAATGATTTTATTCTTTGCGATTTCATAAGACAACATCTAGAAGAAGAAGAAAAAAAATGTCCTGTTTCATGCTGAATTTAACTTACCAACCCAGAACAAAATCGAGAGCAAACAAAAATTCCTGTGAGATAAAAGAGGACATCACAGTATGTTTCTCTTACTTCTCCTCTTTTCCTTTTGACATTCAATTTTACAGTTTGGCGATATAGATCCCTCTGGTGCAAATCCTACATACTTTGAACGCAAATGAAACAATGATGAAAACCTTGACATTAATGTACTTAGTGAAAAAGTATTCATGAGCAAAAAATTACAAAAATTTAGATAAACATTGAATAATATTGTGTAAATTTAAACAAAAATATGTTTATATTTATTTAACACAACATTATTTCTTTTCCCTTTTGTCATGGTGACAGTTAAGTTTAAATGTAATTTCAAATAAGAGCGATAACCGTAAGTACGTACTTTTAAATACGGACAAAATAAACTATTTCACACAATTATTTAAATCCACGATAATTTTTCGAATATATTCGATTCAAAATGTTATAATTTTCTTTACGATTCAATCGAAATTCGTTTATTTTGAGTAAAAACAGCCAATCCGCTGTTATCGGTTGAATATTGCTGCATTTTTTTTGTTTTCAACCGCAAACATTACCGACACTTGGTATGTTAATCGGTACGATTACAAGCCGCTTCATGAAATGTCAAATTAGAGTGTATGCCACTGTATTCATTCAAGTAAATTTTTGTGTCACATCAATAGATAGTAAAAAGAAAAACACAAATATTGATGTTCCATAACAATAGATAAATGTAACAAACGTTGCTCGTTCAAAATAAATCAAATCGTTTTGTTTTTTTCAATTCAAATTGTTTTTACAATTTATCGAAAACAATTTGTTTGTAGAAATTGCAAATTTTTGAAATAGTCCAAAGAAACTTCACTGCAAAACAAAAATGGTTACATCAAATGATCTTGTCGCAAATGTTGTGTTTTTGATAGAAAGTACAGCAATTACGGGCGCATATATGTCCGAGTTGAGAAACAATTACATCGTACCAACGCTGGAACATTTTTCATTGCAAGGCATTGCCGATGAACATGATCTATTTCCAATTGAAAATAGTAAATTTATATACGGTGTGATCGTTTACAAAACGGTTCAAAGCTTACCAGGCGTTGCATGCAGCACATATGGACCATTCTCAAGCCCCCAAAAAGTGCTAAACACCATTGACAAGCTGGAGTTAGTTGAAAATTTATGTCAAAAATAGTCTATAACTCAGATTTAATAATAAACATTTCAATTCCAGTCTAAGCGGCGGTAAAAGTGAATCGAATGCCAATTTAGCAGAAGGTTTGGCAACAGCCTTGGTTTGCTTTGAAGATATGAACGAAGTTCGTGAAGAACATCGATTCCAAGTTCAAAATCATTGCATTCTTTTATGTAATAGTACACCATATTCTATGCCGGTCATGGAATGTACACAGTACGAAAATAAGACAATCGAACAAATGGCAACTCTGTTTCAAGAAGTAAGTGAATATAGAGCGGAGCATGCGAATGAAAATAAATTTTCTAATTGGTGCATTTCATTACATTTCCACAGAGAAGCATCAATCTATCGATAATATCGCCGAGAAAAATTCCAATTTTAATAAAAATCTTTGAAAAAGCCGATGGCGACATGTCAGCACTAAACAAAGATTTCTCAAAAGATCCACGACATTTAGTTCTTTTGAAAGGATACTGGTAAATAATACGTGACTAAATCAACATAATTTTATTGACCAATTGATAATGTGTCGTATAGTTTCAGTGATCGACCAACAACACCACAGACAAGTGCCACACCAACGATTCATGCAAATACAATGAACGCAAACATGCAAAGTCCACGCCAAAATAATGCAAAAGATTCAGTTACATCAAATAATTTAATTCGCACGAATAATGCAGGTAAGGGATTTTTGTTATTTTATTTGAACGAAACGATGTTCATGCATTTCCACGTCAAGCATTCGGTGCCTGTTAAAATTCAGAAATATTCGTGTAGTGCGCATATGCAATGAGCAACAAAATGAAATAAATTGAGAAAAAAATAATAATAATTTGAGGATATACTTTTATCATCTCATATTGAACTCAGCCATTATATTTTGTATTATTTTATTCCATCATGCTACATTATTATTATTTTTTTATAACAATTCAGGTATGAACTTCCAACAATTCAATGCGAATGCAGCGCAGACACAGGTAAAATAAACGTGAATTTACTCCAAAATTAGAAGAATCAAATTATTGAAAAACAATATGCTTTTTTCTACTTCAGCAGCAGCAATCACAACAACAAGGAAATGTTCAGTCTCAACCGGCACCGTCTCCATCATCACAGCAACAACAAACGCAACCGATGCCACAGCAGCAACAAAATCAACCACAAATGTAAGCAATAATCTAAATAGCATTTAACTTATATTTAATATTAACTTATTAAGACTATTATTATTGCAGTCAAGTGCCGACTTCAGGAAATCCACAGCCAAATCAACAACAACAACAACAACAGCAGCAGCAGCAGCAGCAGCAACAACAACAGCAGCAACAACAACAACAGCAGCAGCAGCAGCAGCAGCAACAACAAGAGCAGCAACAACAACAGCAGCAACAACAGCAACAACAGCAGACTCCACAACCAAATCAAACGGTTCCTTCAAGTCAACCACAACCAACAATGTCACAACAAGCACCACAACAAACTCAACCGGGGTCAGTTCAATTTCGAATCATATTTCATTTCAATGTAATGACTTTTATAAATTTATGATAGACCGGACAATCAAATCAAAAACCAAGTACCCGTTTCATCAGCGGCACCACAAGTTTCGGCCGTATTTTCAACGGTTCAAAACAAACCAAATATAACAACAAATCCAATGCAACCAACGATTGGAAATCGTTTCCCTGTGCCACAACAAGCCAGACCAATATTGTCAAATTCAAATATGAATCCGAACATGAATATGGCCAATATGGGTGCACAGCCACCGGGGCCAAGTGTATTGGTAAATGATTTTCTCTCTTTCTTTCAATCTTTTTAACAATCAGACCTTTAACATTAAGTCATAAAACTTGTTACTCACATCTTATCTTGTTCTATTTAGCAACAACAAGCATTACGTATGCAAATTCTAAATCAACAGCAATTACAACATCAAATTCAACAAGAAAAATTGCAACAACGACTTCAGCCTCAACCGACAATGTCAAATGCGCCGAATCCAAATCAGCCACCTCATCAAGTCATGATGCAGCAATCAATGTCCGATTCATCGGCTCAACAACAACAGCAGCAACAGCCACCGCAATCCAATGCACCACCTCCAATTCGAGAAAAAATTTGGACCGGCGTTTTGGAATGGGTTGAAAAAGCGAAAACTACACAAGCTGATAAAATACCTCATCAAGTTCCGTGCTATGTGACAGCTAAAGAAGGCGATCCAGAAATGTAATGCAATTTTTGATTTGATCAATTACTCTGACTCTAATCTCTTTACATTTTTCTTGCTATACAGACAAGGAGACCATTGGCCACCGCGTTTACTAATGCAATTAATGCCAAAGCAATTGGTTGGAAATATCGGTCAACAGTACTTGAAGGAATCTAGATCAGTTACATTTCATCTATCGCCGGTACTTTCAATTTCGCCGGTACTTTAGAGAAGAATCAATTTTAATGAATTTTTTTGTTTCTGATTTTTAGTGTCCAAGTTTGGATAACCTTACACGTGTCATGAGTAGCGGATTTGTAAGTTTGACATGATTTTTATTTTTTATTTTGGATCAATTCAATTTCATCTACTTTTGACTTTAATATTCGTTCGATTTTATGTTTGTTTGTTTAATTTAGGCTGGCTGTGTTCATTTCAATCAACAATCTTCGTCGTGCGAAATTAGAGTATTGATTCTATTTTATTCAGTGGATAAAAAGGCATATCTTGGTTTCATTCCAAATAATCAGGTAAGTTCGTAAGAAAATGATGTAAAAATGTACATTCATGATTATGTATTTCTTTAGGCTGGATTCGTTGATCGATTACGTAAGGTTATTTCGCAAAAACAAAGCGTTCGTGGTCAAGGCCAGCAGGTAATTTCTTTACTGAAAATTTAAAACGGAATGCATAGGATGAAAACTAAGTACTTTTTTCATCTATATAGAATCCACAACAGCAACCGGGTCAACCGCAGCCACAACAGATGATGCAAGCAGCACAACCAACTCCTTCGCAACAAGTACGTAATTTATAAAAATAGTAAAAATTCGGTTTAAAAATATGTCCTTTCAATGAAATTGTTTTTTTTTGCAGCAAATCCAGCAGCCGCATCAAGATCAAATGGTTAAAATGGATTTTGGTCAAATTTCATCGCCGATGATGAATCAACAAGGAAATCAAATGCCGGTGCCAGTGCAACAAATGCAACAAGATGCAATGCAACAGCATATGCCAATGCAACCCGACTTTAACAAAATGATGCAACAACGAATGAAACTCAATCCGCAGGCACAGGTTAATTTTTATGATTGTTTTTAAATTATTTTATGTTCGTGTTTTGAATTAACCCAAGTGACACTAATATATTTTTGTTTTTCATATTTTTTTCGATTTAGATGATGAATGTTCCACGAATGATGCGACCTGGTATGCCAAATCAAAATCCAAATGCAAATCCTGCTATGATAAATCCAAATAACAGTCTTCGACATTTGCTTCAGCCACAAGGACAGGTAATTGCGATGTTTTGAATGTTCCCCCTTTAGCTACTTGCAACAACACAAAAATGAAAATAACTGTTAAATTCATCTTTCCCCTCAGGTTCAGCAGCCAAATCAATTTAGACCAATGATGGGAATGCAGGGACCTAATCCTAACATGGTAACGATTTTTAGTCAAATTCACATTGTTTCATCCACTTCTACCATCGAAATAGGATGAAATTCAGGTGATAACTCACTGTGCGCCACACTCGAATTAAATCCCTTTTCGACGATAAGTGTGATTAATATTTTTCAATTTAAATTAAGAAATTTTTCTTTTTTGTTAACTTTCAAACTCTTTTTTTTTTCTTTTCATGCCTGGTAATGGATGTATTTGCATTAACAATTATTCATATGATGGGAATGAAGGTACCGAATAACATGATGAATCCCAATATGAATATGAACATTCGACCGAATCAGCAATTTAATGATCCAAATTACGAATATATGCAATGATAATATATTATCTCTCGATACGAAAGAAAACTACAAAACTCCACATTTTTTATGACCATTAATTTCATTGCGTAATTTTTATCAGGAGCCACACAAAATTATTGCTCTTATAAAATTACATTTTGACTGAAATTTGAATCAAATACCATATGTTACATTTGACTGCTAAGGATTTTAAATGGAGGCAATCATTTTGTATCACATCCACATTTTTCGATTGATGCAAAGCCTGACATGGCAACGAAATCGATACGAAAAAAATCCTGTTAATAGTTAGCAAAAAAATGAAAGACAAAAAAAATAAAAATTATATTTTATTCAATTAACGAAACATTGTTATTTTTAATTTGGAACGATAATGAAATCAAAAATGATTAATACATTCAATTAGACCACCGTTTGCACTAAAATGAAATTACGCTCAATTACATTTGATTTTGTTTTTGAAAAAAAAAAAAAAAAAAAAAATTCTTTTGGCGGTCGATTGAATGATATTTTTTTTTTTAAATCAACTTCAATTTTAATTTTAAGTTAATTGCCAGTGAAATCCTTTTTCCCGTTTATTTGTCAGCGTTTTGCATAAATGTTAAGGAGAGGCGAGGAAAGATTGAATTTAAAAAAAAACTTTAAAAAAATATTAAAGTTATTCAATCAACGCATTTACGTGCGATCCATTTGAAACACACAATGTGTACTCACTTTCATGCACGGTTCAAATTTTGATAGCATTTATTAATTCAAGAGCTTAAGTACTATTTCAATCTATGATGAAATTCGACCAAAGAGCCTTTTTTATTTATTGCAATTGACCTTGAAATTTTATTGATATATGTATCAATGGTTGCTGGGTTCATAATTAAAAAACAACAAAAAAAGAGTTCGATCTAGGTTTGTAGGTTTCCATTGTTATATTGTTATGTATAGCTGGGCAGACTTTTAAGAAGCGGAGCAAATAGAATGACTGAAAAAAATACGGAACCGTCCCCCCTCTGAACACCTACGTATGTTATCCATATTATAATACAATGTATACAATGTTCGACTTATATCAATATACTTGTTTGGTACTACTATCTAACATGTACTTTTGTTATTGATGTGTGTAAGTGTAGATATTTCAACAGTCGTACATTAAGACTTCAGTCGTCTAGACTTTTCGCCTTTGCTTAAATATTTTACTAGAACATTTTTAATATTTTTCTAGAATTTTTTTAATTGAATTGCAATAACAATAATAGTCGAGATATCATATAATTTGATATAAATGAAAAATATTTTCTTCTCAAAATATTTATTGTATTTAAAAGTATAAGGAAATAATCAAAAAGTGACTGGTGTGATATCAGAATTAAGAAATATATTTTGTCAGCATTAAAAAAGAATCGGTAAGCGGTTTTGTTTTGTTTTGTTTTGTTTTGTTTCGTTTCGTTGTTTCGTCATACTTTTTCCCGCCAATTTGACTAATACGCATACTTGCACATATACGTAGTTTGTAGAGAACGACGCATCAATATGTATACATATATGAGAGTATATATAGACATTCACAGTGCTTGAAGTGTATGGTGTAATTAGACTGCACTGAGTTTCTGCTCAGTCAGCATATGTTGGCGGGAATTTGATTTATTTTTTCGAGAGAACGTTATCAGTATTTTGGTGGTTGAGCTCAATTAACTTAAAATATTCAGCTCATTGCAAAGCTTGTACAATATTCTACTCAATACAAACTTTATACGGTTGAGTTCAAAAAATGAATGTTCACTGATTAACTGATTTGTTATTAGATTTGGTTACAAAATTCTATGCAAATAAAAATAAATAAACAAAAAATGTTACAGTCATTTAAACTTATTTATTCGCATTATTTTAGGTTTGATAAATAAATATCGCCGAACAGAGTCAACAATGGATGTATTCTATAGAAAAACAATTGATCGAGCAGTTTCTATGCTGATCGACAAAATATATCCAGAAGTATTGTATATGAAATATATTGAGTCGAACTTTTGATAATAATCTTTTATATTTTAAAGACTGAAATGGTATTGGATGACGATGTAATTGTTCTAACAAACGTAGACATTCGGTGCACTAATGATCCAGGTGAAACAGATGATAGTGACGAAGAATGTGACAATGAACTGCGGCGGATTCTTGGCGATGAAAGTGACTTTACATATGAAAGCATGGACGATGATATGAGTGATTTTATCGACGACCGACCAGAAGAGGAAATGTCTGAGCATAGTGGTGATACATCCGATAATGAAAGTTGCGCAGAAGGTGAGGAAGATAAAGAATATGACAGTGAAGATTATAAAAGCGTAAATGGGAGCGAAAGCGAATCAAGCGAATCAGAAAGCGAAAATGAAAACGGCAATGGCAATAAAAATGATGCTAATAGCGACAGTGACACTCCTAATACTCCTCGTAAAATACATCAAACGGTCAATTTTGTAGACAGTTCATCCGAATCGGAAAAAGATGATTCAGGCGAATCTAGTGATGAAAGTGATGACAGTCCTAAAATCAGTCCTCGTAAAAAACTTAAATTATGCAATTCAAGTGATGACGAACCATCGGGATGCAGTAGTGTTGAGGACACAAATAATTATTTAAATGAGTCTCCTGAGTCTCATGTGGTGCCGATTGGTAATGACGCGAATAAACAACATGTCAACAAGTTTGGCGTTTATCTTTTGCCAACAATCAATGGAATGTGAGTAAAACATATTTTTATTTGAAGTAACCATTGGAATCGAAGAGATTTTATATAAAATATGCTGAAAGTGTGAGAAATAAATTTCTTCTTGAATTCGATTTTCAGACGGACATGCTTGAGATACCACGGAAGAATTGGAATGAAAGGCATAAGAGGTTATTGTAGAAAAATGACAAAAAAACAATTTTGCGATCTTATTAATCGCAAAAGACGCTTGGATGGATTTACTCGATTGAATCTTTTGTATGTAAATGCACGGCATCTAGAAAATCGTAAACCAGAATCGAATTTGGAAAAATCCGTCAGAAAACTGCTAATCCATTTAATCGATTTATGGTTTCCACTTGGATTACCATTAATCGAACATTTGGATAGAGCCTTGTGTTTACTTGATGGTATGCACAAACAAATAGCCATGGGAAAAGTTCCGAAGCTGGAATACACAAATAAATTCTACGCTCTGATTCCGCATCAAGGTGACAATAGGCGTCGCCAACGATTTAAGGATATTATTTATTGCGATAGTAAAATTGAGTACGTCAATAAAATGAAGTCAGCAATTGATTGTTTAACTGAGGCCAATAGAAGACGTGGCATAAATCCTTTAGATTATTTTATTGACAACTGGATCAGAGTTGAATTAATTGAGCTAAATGAGGAAAAAATAGAGTATAAAATTCTTAAAAATGTTGTTGAAAAAACACAACATGCGAATTCTTCCAGGTATTTTCGCGTTGCAAATATATTCAAAGTTGATAATATGAACGCCGATGAAAATGGTGATTTTTCAACAAATATTACACATAACCATCGGTATTTGTTGCATTTCACATTTGGCTGTAATATACTATCCATTTTACGCGAAGGCTTAAAGTCAGCACCAAAGCATATATATAGCGTAAATCGATTCCTTGGCGATGGAATTTATTTTTGGGATGCGGTTGCAAACGCTGGCTTAAATTATAAGTCACTAAATACTGTTTATATTCTGGTTTGCCGTGTAGCTTTGGGCAACGCTAAACAAGTCAAACAACAATATTTAAGACACGACCAAAAATTACAATGGGACAACGATGTCGATTCAATATTTTGTTTGGGCGAAAAATTCTCATCATCCCGAAGTGCCGAGGAAGATCTCAATGGAGCCAAAATTTACTGTGGACAACTTGAAGAGAGATCGTCTTATGAGCATGGATATTCTTTGTACAACGAATACGTTATAAAAAACAAACAACAAGCAATTGTTGAATTTATAATTAAACTTGAAAAGGAATGAATGTAAAGTTTAAGTAAGTTGAACGAGCATTACTTTTTTTAAAACTAAAATAAAGTTTCCTGCGACCTCTTAAAATATCAAAACAACTGGCTTTAATTCAAATTTTTAATTTAAATTTGATACACTTTTATTATATAAAAAAATTGTCGACAGTACATCAAATTGATTATAGTGAATTAATAATTATTTCAAAAATAAGATAAATTATTCTTATTCGGGGATATTTGGTGTATTTGCTACAGTATCCAAGACTTGATCTTTCAGTTGATTGAACGCAGCATGTGTTTGTTGTTTCAAATCAGAAATGAATCGATCCAATTCATGTTGTGCTTGACGTCGAGCTGAAAATGAAAACAAACTTCGTTACTGATAAATTATTAACATCTTTGTCAATATGACAGCGTAAATAGCATAAAAACAATCAGTATACCTTCTGTGCGAGCTCTTCCCTTCAATCCTTCAGGCGTATACCATGTTTTCAAATATAAAAAATATAATTCCCATATGTCTGCACCTCTTGGGCCGAGCGCAATTTTGGCTTTTTTGAAATTCTCTCGAACCTTCGCAAAACCATTCTCATCCTGTATGTAATAACGCAAACATAGAAGCCAAATGCTTAATGAACCTTCGTACATTTGCGTCGCCTTTTTTAAGACATTTTCAATGTTCTGGTCTTGTGGATTGTTTGTATACAATTGTTGAATGTACAGTAAATAATGATTTTCGGACATATGATTTGATGCATAGGCTCCATCGAGCGCCTTTCGCAGGGCTTGTCGCTTCAATAGCGCATGTGTGGATAAATCTTTATTTATTTCTATCATGGTCTCAATGTAATAGCTCCACATTGTGTCCGTGTTAATCTAAATAAATAAAGAAGTCAAAATAATGAATATTTTATTTAAAAAATAAATAAATAAATTAGAAAACATACCACTTTGATAGCTTCCTCATAAGTTTGAATCGATAATTCAATGCGTTTTTTTAGCGTATGCTGTGGTGGAGCCGATAGATCTTCTATTTTTAACTTTTTCAAACTCAACAACATCGATTTACTGTCTTCTCCATTGCATTCACCGCCTTCCTTTTTTATCAAACCAGTAAAGTCCATTTTACAATCAACGGTTGACAGGCCATTCAATTCACGCTGTGCTAATTTATGCCTTATAAGTGCTTCACTCGGAAACAACACTCGCATATCATTCAATATTGTCTGTTGAATTGAGTTGGCATACTTGAATTTATCGACAATGTTCAGCATCTCAAAGTAAAAATCAATGTTGGTAACTTTGTTTTTGATGTTACTGTAAATAATAGCAGCATTTTGTAATGCTTCCAGCTCATCGGATTGACGCTTATTCTCCAATTCAATTTGAAAGAATGTAAGATAGAGTTGTTCAGAGTCTGGATGGAGTTGCTGGGCACGTGATTGTAACGTTTTAATGTGTTCATCATTGAAATTCTCATTATACTCCCACAAAATTGCACGATTCCAAGCATCCACTTTATCCGAATGGAACTGGAAAATGGCAAGAGATAAGGTTTATCAATATTATAGTCATAAAAGTCTCTTCACTGAAACCATGATCATTTTAATCGTTAGACAAACCTGTAACATTCGTTCAAATGTTGAAGATATATCCTTGGTGTATTTGAATGTCTGCAAGAATTTGATATATTCATTCCAAAAGCGGATATTGTTTGGGAATTTGGACAGAGCTTCTGCATACAATTTCTTCATGCGGTCGGCAATTTGTAATAAAATCGAATGAGTCATAGTGATTTTTTGTTGTTTGATTCGCTCTTTGGTCGTTGCTATCAAACTTCGTTCATATTTTATATATTCGACATAGTCTTTTATTACACGGGATGGTTGTGAGATCTTATTTTCAAAATTTTCTCGTTTTTCTTTTATTTCTCTACAATAAAACATCAGTGAGCAAACACAAATGATATTAAATAATAATAATAAAAAAAATGTGAAAATTGTGCTTGGATTACTTACAAAATTTCTGCATCGGAATAGATGTCCAGAATACGCATTTGGTCGTATTCTGTACGCAGAGTACGATCCAATCCATCACCCATTTTTCTGTATTTTTTATTATTTATAATTTTTTTTTGCGTTTTAAATAGATTAATAAGTTCTTTATACACCAACAAAATTAAGAAACACAATAAAAAAAATATTTCATAAATAGTTGTCGCCGCTATATAAACAATATGCAATAAAACATTAGCTGTCACACTCGATCTATCTGTCAAATGTGTGACTGTAGTTCAGCCAAAATGACACTTGAAAGCTAAACGCTGAATCGCTGTTTAAAATTCGAAAAAAAAAGTCTGTATATTCAATATGTTTTTTTTTTGGCTGATTTTTACTCTCACGAAAAGTTCGAACATATTTATTTATTTTGTGATACAATTAATTTTCGATACACGTTTACTTTAAATATTAATCGCATAACCAAAATAATTTGGGGCAAAGATAATCATTTCTTGAAGTTTTTACTTCAAGTTTTTCTCCCATGCGATCAGCATTTTCGGCCAAATTTTCATCGCGCAACACTTCAAGTGCAGCAATTGCTACACGCAACCAAGAGGATTACCACCATACGTTGACCCATGTTCACCATTTTCCTCTGTTTTTTTTTTAGATGCCGCTGACCAAATACAAATGAAAGAATTTAGCTTTAAGAAAGAAACTGTTGTGTTTAATTTTGTAATGAAAATACTTCATTTTGTTGTGATTAAAATTTTGGTTCAATTTCAATACAGCGTTAGATAAGCGTTTAATACTAATAATTCCATTATATCATTCTAAAAAATGTTAATTACGAATCGTCCAAAAGCTATCACTGAATAACAATTGTCTTTTGAAGACAACAATTTGGAAGGATATAAAAAATTATACAATTTGTTTATCGAAAGATGATTTTGCTTATGAGATTTCCCCAGATTCTAAAGAAGCAATATCATCACCAGAATCAATTGTTTCTATCTCTAAGTCGTATTCTACTTCATTTTGTTTGGTTAAATGTTCCGTTGTATTCGCGTTTGATTCGTACATTTGTACATCTAGTCTTTCTTGCATATTTTGGAGCTCTTGGTTATTTTCATTTTTGCATGTCAAATGTGACTCATCGCTGTCATCTCTTGCATGATCTTTCATTCGGTATGTGAGTTTTTTCTTGTGTTTTATACGCTCACTCCTGCTGGAGCAACTAAAATGAGATGAATCCGAATATTTTGCATCGGAATCGGATTTAAACGTGTCTGATTCATCCGAATGATAATTTTCTATTGCCAAGTCGTCTTCTACGTCATTGTGTTTGGTAAAATCTTGAATTGTATTCGCGTTTGTTTCGTTGATTTGTGTTTCCAGTTTTTCTTGCATACTTTGGAGTTCTTGCTTATTTTCATCCTTGCATTTCAAATGTGGTTCATCTTCATCATTTGCACGATTCTTTTTTCGGTGTTTGTGTTTTTTCTTTTGTTTTGTTCGCTTAGTCTTGTTGGTCGAACAACTAAGATGCGATGAATCCGAATATTTTCCATCAGAATCGGATTTAAGTGAGTTTGATTCATCTGATGATTGTTTATTTGATTTCTCATTAATACGATATTGTTTCGGTAAATGTGAATCATCCTCGGCAATTTTTTTTGCAATTTTTTGCAATTCTGTGCGATTGCGTTTTTGTTCCCTCGTATAGGGTTTGCCTTTTTGTCGTTTCATACTGTTTGCTATTACGCGTTTTTGATAGTCCAACTGTGGAAATAGTGCCGATGAATTTTCTAATGCTGTTTTTGCTGCTTCCATTTCGGCTTGTTGTATTGAATGTCCCGATGAACTGGCCAAGCGTTTGCCTCTGAAGTAAACGGCCACTTTATATACACGAGTATTTGTTGGTCCGGTACATTCAATCACCTTATAAACTGGAATGTCGGGCTCACCACCATCCATTGTACGAACTTAAAAAGCAAAAGTAAACACAAATTCACTCAATTTCATTCAAAAAGTAATAATTCACATTGAAAAAACTTACGCGTCAAGCAACATTGCTGCAATTTTGATTTTGAATCGTTCCAGTCTTGGTTCATAATGAACATTTGTAGTCGAGGAAATAGACAAACTTGACAAAATACTTCGGGATATGCAAGACCTTTGTCCACATACAATGCACCCAAAAATGCTTCCAACAAATCAGCTCTGTCTTTTGTTTTCAATTCAGTTTTTGGATTTGCATATATCGCATACTCAGTCATACCTAAGGGGAGAATCACAAAAGAAAAAAATTTAAAATAATCGACAAATAATCGAAAATAATCGAAAAAGAATCAATAACAATTATTAAATAATAGAAAGGCAATTTTTAAGTGAATTGCCCCTAGGTCATACCCAAATCATCACAAACAACCGCTTGCGTTCGATTATTGACTAGGGAACTTCGCAACAATGATAAATGTCCTTCGTGATGTTCGGGAAAATGTCGATATAAGAATTCGGAACAAATTAATTGTAGCACAGTATCACCGAGGAATTCAAGACGCTGATTGGAGCCCATGGTTAAATGAGTATAACCAATGCTACGATCTGTAAATGCTCGTGCCAATAAACGAATGTGATGAAACTTGGCGCCAATCGTATCTTCGAATTTAACTAAACTTTGAAGCAATGGATAATCTTTGATCCATTGTCGATCTCCCAATGGTTCCTGCTCTTGCAGCGGATGTTGTGGTAAATTAACCCAAACCTAATATGTTCATAGGTTCAATGTAAATGTTAAGTTTTTGTCTTTTTTAAATTGGTTTTGCGAAATAAATATACCCTTTTGAGTGTGTCGTTCTCAAGGAACAGTGTAGTTCCAAACACTTTGTCGGCCACTTCGATGCCTCCATCTAAATGCAGCGCGCCCATAAATGCTTCAAAACAATTGGCCATCGCATGTCTCAATTCTAATTCATGACACAAATCCGAGCCGTGCGCATACAGCATAAACTCATCCAATCGCAATTTCTAATTGATTCAAAAATTTATTTAGAAGAGAAATTCACAAGAATGACTTGAACTCAAGTTACCTTTGCTAAAACAGCTAAATGTTGATTTTGTACGATAGCAGCACGATAAGTGGCCAGTCCACCTTCTTCAAGATCGGGAAACATAAGAAATAAATGAACGGATGTTATAAATTCAACAACTGCATCGCCGAGAAATTCCAAACGTTCATTATGTGTTATGCTGCTTTCGGTTGCATTTTCTTTTCCAAACAATGACATAATATTGATGAGTGTGTTTATGCCGCGTTTTCTTGCATGTAAATAGTGAATTTTCCTATCTCCATATTCGGGCTGCCGAATGCCGCAATTTGATAAACTATTTCGCGCATGGTCTGGATTTGTACCTGAACGAATAATGAAAAAAATAAACATTGAAAAAATCAATTCAATTCGGCCAATGGAAAATATAGTAATATCCATACCGAAATTCTCCTTATAAGATGGATGTGTTAAGGCCAATTGCAATAGATAACGATTTTTGAATTTGTATTGTATGTTATTCTCCAGCAAATTAAGCGATTGATGGAACCGAAGATGTGTGGTTAGTACGGGTATTAAGAGTGCATGTTGAACAATATCGCACATGATTCCAGTACGATAAAAACCTTTTGAAGAAATATCAACCGGAATATTTCGTTTAAAACGGCCTTCGGTTCGCATTTCTTGTAGTCGACTCTCTTTCGCCTCCAACTTTCGTTTGTCTTCGTACGATGGTTTCGACATATTGGCCACTAAATGTCGAAATTTAACATATTCACGCCATGACTTTTGATATTCCGAATTGCCAGCATAGCTCAATTGTGGTGGACGAACAGCAAAGTGTACAATCACCGGATGCACAATATTGGCATCTTCCGGATCGACACAGTTCGGTAAATCGCCAACATTCCGATCCAATTGGTCGACTCGGATCGAGCACGGTTTCATTCCAGGATTCGTCACAACCATACCCTTTACTTCATCTACATATTCTTGCCACTCACGTTGATGCACCTTATCCATATCTTTAAGAATTGATCCATCGACAAGTGGACCAGAATTGTCGAGTAAATATTTTAGAACAACGCTCATTGATAGAATTTCTTTGCCATTATCGGGTATGGCACGTACAAATCGCGGAAAAAAATGAAACAGCGAACATGTATCATCGTTTTGTTTCGGTAAGACGGAAAAATCTGTCATTTCAAGAATTTCACCGAATAAATATTCAGCTATAAAATAAAAATAATCGAAGGGAAATTGATTTAACATACATTTCTGAAATTGAACTTTTTTTTTTTTTGTTGAATCATACTCACTAAACAAATCCAATTCTTGTATTGTAAAATTTTCCGGCATTTTCTCTTCAAAATACATAATTTTGTATTCTATATTGAAACGAATGACCTAGACGAAGAAAAGAATTTAATTAGCAACTTAAACGGTTATACCACACGACCAATTAAGATCGAAAGCAAAACATACCGTACAATCGGGAAACTCGCCAAGCGGTTGGTGTGAAAGTAGAGAAAATCCTTCAAATAGAAATTCGTGTTCGTCATGCTTAATCATTGTTGGCGTTTTTGTTAGGAAATTTGTGGGTGGTGATACGGTTATTTTGTAATGGTATAGCTTTGTGGCATTATTTGAATTTGGTAAACATTTTGGTATTATCTCTTCACCGGGATAAATGTTGTGTCGTATGCCGGTTCGCCGTGACTTTGCCGAGCATCGACACAATGGGCCATCATTCATTTCACCGGGTTCATTGTGCCATAAATCCTTATGCAATCGATATGGATGTTTTGTTTTTTTCGTTAATTCTTCCATGGGAGAATCGTCTTCGATATGCAAATCATTATCTGACGAATCAGATGATGAGCATTTATCATCTCCTAAAGAACATTTTGAACATAAAACGAAAATTACACATATTGGTCATTGAATGAAATGAAACAAAAATTGTGTTTAAGTCATACCTTTATGTCGGCACACGCGATGCCGTCGTTTCCTGGGCTTGTCGACAATCACCGGTTTGGATTGGCGTGCACGTTTACCGCGTTCAACAAGTTCAAACCGAAATAAATTGCATAAATGCTCGGAGCGTGTTTTGCCTAGGGATGATCAGAAGAAATGAATGGAAAAAATGGAAATTAATAAATAAGTAATGAAACGGAATGGATCAGGAATTGTAGAGTAATGGAATAGTAATTTTTAGGTAAATATGTGTTTTACCTTCGATTTCATTGTTCGGTGTTCGTCTATAAAACAACTCAGCCGGCGACGATCGTATATAAGTTTCTTTCTCTGCATCTTCGTTCAACTCTTCTAATTTACGCGTTATATCTTCAGAAGTTTTACAAAAATTACTGCGCCACTTTTGTAAAATGCGTGCCCTTTCGGTAGGTTCTTTGACTGATAATGATTTTTCGGGCGAATTTTTAGTTTCACACCCATCGGATCGAGCCTGTGACGTTTCTCGTTTAGTTGACAAAGTACGCGATGAGCAACTTGAACTTGGTTTTAGTTGAACCGAATTTGTTCGATCATCAATATTTCGTGTGTCACTTTTCGAACTAGTTGATGTCTTTGAAAAAGTTGAATCGCTTCTACTTCGATCCGGATGTGTACTATATTTTCGGCCACGATTATCACAATTTTGGTAACTTCGGTCTCGGCTTTTGTCTTTCACCCGGTCTTTAGCATCTCTGTCCCGATCTCTATTCCTTTTGTGATCATCTCTTCTGGGTGGGTCATTGACATTGTCACTTTTTCTATCTCTAATCCGCCTTTTGTCAACCACAACTTTGTCTCTATTTCTGTGTGTTTCTCTGTCTCTATCTCTGCGTCTATCTTGATTTCTATATCTGTCTCTGTCTTTATTTCTTTCACCATCTCTGTCCCTATTTCTATTACTATCTCTGTCTCTATTTCGATTTCTTTCAAATGAACGTGTTGAATCATCAGGTTTTCGTGATGATTGAAGGTCATGACATTTTTTAGTATCTCTCCTCTCATCAAATTTTGAACTGCGAACAGGTGCTGAATGGTCTCTGGAATTTTGATACGAATGCCGTTGTCGATATATTTGTTGTTGTTGATTATATTGATGAACTGACGACGGTTGTGGAGGTGGTGGTAGCTGGGTTGTGTATATCTATTTACATATTTAAATTTACTAGAAAACAATTTCGATAGAACATGAATAAATAATACTAACGTTCATTTGTGCATTGTTGAAATTTGGTGGCGGAACGCTAAAGTTGACGGGTGGAAAAAATGTGTTTGTAACAGGACAAACTGGCGGAATTGGATTTGTTGGTGCGGCCGTGCTACCATATGATTGTACATAAAATGGTCCCTGATATTCATTATTTTGCGTTTGACCTTTATTATTTGCTTGACTAGCATCAAATCGATTTGGATAGCTCATTGCACACTATACAAATCTTTGAAGAGTCCGAATCAATTTTAAACAAAAATAGAACCAAACAAAAAACACCGAACTTTAGCATGTTTTTTTAAATGACATTTAATCATATAAGAACGTTTGACAATCTTTTGTCAATGATCGGCTTATGAACGCACTCCAATTCAGTACATTCATAAATACGCTTTGCAGACTACTGCAGTCAATTTACCATTGTTGAATACCAATAAAAAAAATACAAACAATTTTCGTGGTCTTTATACAAAATGTTTATTTTTGGTAATGTCTAATACAAAAAAAAAATAATGGTTAGTTCAATAAAAAATGCGCAACCAAAACCGAAAATATAAAATGATGAGGTAAATAATTGATCTACTATACTATAGTATAAGTGTGGAACGAACGGATCATGAGTTTTCAATTAATGTAGGTTTATTGATGGCCATTTAAGTCATCATTTTTGTCACAATCTTGATTGGTTGTTTCACCTTCAAAGCAACATTCGCCGTTGTTGCCGTAATTCTGAAAATGCACGAATGCCTGCCATGCAGATTTTGGAGGTGTATTATATAACGGATGTGTTGGTAATAATTCATTAGTCACAATATCACCAATAACGAATGGATCGGCATCTATTTCTGAATGTTGTGAAATCGATACACCGCTCAATGTATAACATGTGTGATAAAGATCGGGTGGTCTGTGGGGAGAGTGTGGTAAGAGAGAAAGAAATTATTATTTTAATTGATTCACTTTCAATCCATCGACATGTCAATGTACTTACGTATCAGGCTTGTCAATCAAACCGCCTGATGGACGTTGACAGCAAATAAAAATGTACTCCTGTAATGCGCGCACATCAAATACCGGTTTTTTGAGTATTCGACTCAAATATGGTTCTAAAATGGAAAATAAGAAGACATGAAAATTGCTTTCGAAATGCCGTTAAATTTTTGCATACCTTTTTTACATAAAACGGCTTGTACAATAGGCACAATTGCTCCGCACCAAAATGAATAGCATCCATCGACTAATTTATTTGTTCTTCCCTGGAAGCCACCTTCAAATTTCATTTGTTTATTCACTGTCCATCTCTGAAATAGTTGAAAAACAAACAAAAATATGTACATAAAGTCCCATTGATGTCAACGTAAAATGAATAAAATTTTGTGTTTTGCAATGTGAACGTACAAGTAAAGCATCTAAATTGCATTTCCCTGTTGATCCGAGCAAAGCAAGTGCGGCAATACCACAAAATGTGTATCCACCGTGAGCTTCTTTGTCGGGTACACCACCCATCCCGCCTTCGTATGTTTGACAGGATGCAATCCAATCGACAGTTCCATTGAACAGTTTTGCCTCTTCTTCGGCTGATATGTTAACTAATTTTGCAACCGAAACGGCACAGTATGAACCACGAACATCAATTTCACCATCAGTGTCCATGCGAAAGGCACCAGTTTTATCATCACGAACACGGTACAAAAATTTCAACAACGTTGGTTTATTAATGGCATCATAAGCTTCTGGTGTTCCGATTATGCATAAAGCATTTACCGAACCGTATGTTGTTGCTAAATGTGGCACTTGTCCGGGACCACCGCCAAATCCGCCATCATTTGAACGACATTTGACTAAAAATTTTACAACTCGCGATAATAATTCGTCGGGAAAGCGAAAATTTAACAAATGGGCCGCATTTAAAATCCAATAAATCAACCATGGACGACTACTGTCCAAGCACTGATAATTGGTTGACAACGATCGAAGCATATTTTCCAAAAATTTTATATGCTGCAAACGATGCAGGCTGGGCAATGCTTTTTTATTTTCCAAATAACGAACTTGCTCGAAACGATCGTAACATTTTTCCACACGACGTTCGATTTCAGCCTGAAAAAAATAAAAATAAATAACGAACACAAAATTAATGAAACGATTCCAATGTGAACAATCACCAACATTTAAACATACCTGCTCTAATGATGTAGCCGTTTTATACTTTTCATCGTCGAATCTTAGTTTTTTCAATTGTTGTAGATTTCGTAGCTGATCGGGAATATCCATTTCTTTTTGTTGCTATTTATTTGCGTTTCGAAATTTATTCAATTTGAATCCAAATTAAAACATAAAACCAACATTCGATATCCAAATCAAAAGAAAGCAATCAAACAAAATAAGAGAATGCCTTCAATTTTCAATCACGATCAATCCAATATCGATTCGAATTGCGTCAATCACATTTGGAAGTGGGCTGAATTTTCAACACTTTTTTTGAATTGATCGCAAAACTGGTGTGACACAATATTTTTTTTAGAAAATACAATAATTTTTAATGTGTGAAATAAAAATACAAATGTCAAAACCTACACCACATATCTGCGGAACCACTTTCAGTTTGACAGTTCAGACGTTTGACACTTTTGGTTTTATTTTAGCGGTAAATTTGTTTGACAGTGCTGACTGAAATCAAAAAACTTTAAATTACGAAAACAAAAATGAGTTTGAATTTTGCGTTTTAAAATTTGCCTTTGTTTTGTTGAAAGGAAAAAAAACCCGTGATATCGATTTGACGCTGGCTGAATCTGAGTGATTTCTTTTTTTAAATGCGCAAATGTCAAAATCTCTAAATATACAGATTTTGACAGTTCAATGTATGTGAGCGCTAAATAAAATTTGCGCCAGTACTGAGAAATTTTAGTTTAAACAAGTGTATTTTGAAAGGCGTTCAAAACATTCGGTTTTGTTATGCTAATGCATACATATATCTTGTGTTGTTTAACGTGATGTGATGTTTTCTTTAAATTTTTGATAATCGTAAAAAAAAGTATTGGAAAAATGTCGTCCGCGACGTTGCTATTGATACAAATTCGACAACAATTGATTGATATAAAAAATGACAAAATTACCGTACGCTCCAAATCTCTCGACGAATTACACAATATTTTCGATAATCGGGCGCATGAATTACGTGGAATATTCCGATTGAATAGCAATAATCATCATCATTCAGATGAAGATGAGACCGACACATTCAATTGGTCCGAATTATTTGATGGATTGCATGACGCAGTAAAGGATCAATGTATGCGCATTGAAGCAGGCAAAAGAGCTGAAAGTCAAAAGAATAGTTTGCTTGCAAAAAATGATTCATACAAATCATTATTGAGAAAATGTGTCAGCTTGGCCAACGAATACATGCCAAATATATCTTATGCGAAAATCTGCCATGCAGCATTTGAATGCTTTGAAACGCCAACAATTTGCTGTCATTTCGATGGATTGTATCTACAGATTGTAAAAAAAGACATTTTGAATGCGAAACACAGCCTAAGCGAATTGAAATTGGCCGAATGGAGCCGTAAGTTTATCATCCACATCAAATTAAATATGACGTTTTTATTCTTTCATTATTCTTTTCAATTTTTATTTTCGTGCACAGGATTGCTCTCCCATATTTTCGAATTATACAAACAGAATCGAATACAGAAAAATGAATTGTTACAATGCATTCCATTGATTTTGCAACATGGTTCAAAGTACCGTTACTTGGTCAGCGATTTACATCAATACCTACCCGATATTGTTCAGATCATCAACGAAGGTCAATTTCAGAATCATATCAATGCACAAAAACACATTTTGCACATTGTTTATGAATTCATTCGAAATGTAAGCAGTGTCTCATTGGAAAGTGGTATCGGTTGAAAATATTAAACAATAAACATTATTTTTTTTCCTTCATTCTTTTTTTTCTTGTAGTTGGCCATGAATCAACGATTGTCTGTTGTTGCATTTACGGAAAAGGTTCTAGATAAACTCTTGAAATTTTATCAGTTTTCAATGGATGCTGATTTCAAAGTTAACTTGATGAAAATAATGCATGTTTCGATTGTTGTTCATTCGCCTGAACCGAATAGCATGGTTATTGATCGGTGCCAGTATGCTACATCCAATCAAATTGACGATTTATTTCAAATAAATGTTGCCGAAGATATGCAAGTATGGCACAAACATCTTCGAAATATGATCAGCATTGTGGAACGTGAAATAACCGAATCACGTAAACGTTCGATGCGTTCGAAAGAACCGCCCACCATTTCTCATGTTTTTGTTCGAATGGCTGCAAAACTATGTTCTGTGGTATATATTTAATGCACTTTTTTTTCTCTCGTCCTTTTGGGGCAATTTCTATCAATATTTTTTTTTTTTTCGGTTCTCAGGTATTTTGGAAAGATGATGTATGGAACAGCAGCGGTGAAGAACAACGACAGAAAAGACTCCGCCAAGCGATGAAACTGGAACGAATTTTCGAGCTCATTGAATATGAATCGACGAAATTCTGTTGGCGATGGTAAATCAAAGAAAGCATTCTATCAATCATTTATTAAATGAAATGAATTTTTTCACAGGTTTGCCATACTGTCACAGATGTTGGTTGACTTTCCACACGTACTACAAGCAGAAGATTATCAACCGCTGTTGAAACTTCTCTACGATTTCAAGCCAACCATTCAGCACTCATTGCATATGAAACATTACATTCGAATAGTCGATGTTATGTTGCGAAAAGAGCATGAGCTGAAGAAAGGCTCAACATTGATACGAGATTCATATTGTGTAGAATATTGGCGCAATATCATGACATTATCATTTAAGCATGCGGCCACCGATAAAATGCAATTGGAAAATCTCGATTTGATGCGTATTCTCATTGAAAATGATGTGATTGTTTCGTATAATTTCATCAAAGATGTCATAAGCGAAGTGACAAAGATGTCGAATATCAAAAAATCCAACAGTTCGATCAAACTTTTGATCAGTATTTTGGGCAACGTGAATACTGATATGATTCATGGCATTACAAATTTGAAAATTGCGGTGATTAAATGGTTGAGTTCGAAAATAAAATTGTCGGAATTGAAAAAAGTCATCGAAAATAATAATCGATTTGATGATCACTTGATTGCCGACCTGTATGTTCTGTGCGTTTTGTCGCGTCAAGAAAATGGAAACAACAAAAGCCATAAACTAGATACAGATGTGATGCAAGAAGATGCCGATGCATTTGATCATGATCTATTCATTGCTGATATCGTTAAAAATCTTCAATATCGCATGTTGTCCAAATTAATCGTCACCGACACAATTCATGCGAACGAAAAGCCTGTGACACCAACAATTAACGAACTTCCGGAAAAAAATGACGTCAAAGCATTTGTAAACGATACGATTTTCGTTGAACTGGAAAAAGCCATACATGACACCGATGGCCCAAGTGAAAATAGCACCAGCCCAGATGACAATTCATTGGATTGTTTCCACAATATCGCATCATCGCTGGCAATAAATATCAATATACTGAATACATTGGTCGGTTACGAGTCAATTGATAGCGATTTTTTTCGTAAATTTTTAACAAAGCGAATCTTCTTCAAAATCGGTCAACTCAATGTGATTGTTGAGAAATTTGATGCATCACTGAATATCGATCAAAACCCAAATGAAGTGAATGAAATTGTTGACGGCTTGTTGAGCATTTGGCATGACAAATATCATCCGATCATCGAACACAATATGTTTATTGTTTCAAATAGCATTCACATCATCAACTGGTTGAAGGTACAATTAAAACCATCGCTGCATGATGAGTCTCTAGTTTTGACACCAATACAGAAAATCAGCCAATTATCATTCGAAGAACGAATTCAACTCAAATGTCTACAGCTGTTGGCCCATTTTTCGGCATACGACGATGAAAATGATACGGAAGTACATGTGCTTGAATCAATCTCGGAATATACATTCAATTACAAGCGCAATCAGGATATTTTTATTTTGTTTCACTTGATTAAGGTAAACAGAGTTATGAAATTGTGTTTGCAAGCGATTTAATTTGGTTTAATATTTTATATTTTTAGATCATTTTAAGTCAATTGAATCCATCTGAGGCACTAGTTGAGTGGGCATTCGATGAAATAAAAAAAATTTGTACGAATCTTTCGTCACAACATGATTACATGGAAATGGTGGTGGACAATATTCCAGCTTTAGTAAAATGTGTCAAGCCCCACGTTGATCTACATGATGACCTCATAAATTTGTTGACGTCATTTCTGAAACAAATCAAATCAAAAAAATATGGACCACGAATCAGCATCAAGGTCATTCAAAGTGTTCAGTACTTTGCTCAAGTAAGTACATTCATTTCGCACGATGAATCTTTCAATGATTGTTATTGTTGGCATTTTTTTCATTTAGGAATTCTTTGAAGCTGAAGACTGCTTTGTGATCATTGCATTTTTACAACGTTTTCTTCAATCCGAATATATTACCATTCAATTCACCGCTGTTCAATGTTTGACCAATATTTTCAATAAAAAGTGCTTAAACTACGATGAAGAACGTATAAGCTGTGTAACAGTACAAAATTTTCACACAAATTTAATGGAAAAACTTGAAATTGACCAGTTGTCCGTCGAACAAGAGAATGACAGAGATCGAAAAATGTGCATTGTTTCAACCCGGTTGCAGCTCTATTGTTCCATCATCGGTGTCTGTTATCCATTGCGACGACAAACATGGTTCAATCTAATTGAATTGTGCGGACAACAACTGAACATGGACCAAAGTAAACTGCAAATTGATTACAGTAAATTTTAGTAAAAGATTTTAAGCCATAATTTGTTTGTTTGTAGTAAAAATTGTGGAGATTGCGACAAAATTGTGTAAAGATGTATTTCAAACAACGCACACCACCTTGTTGGCCGATTTGTTTCCATTCTTAATTGCATCTTGGATTGATAAAAACATTCATATGACTACATTCCCGGAAAAATTGTTGAACTTCCAAACGCAGGCAGATTTTCTAGTCGAATACATGGATACAATCACATTGCAAGTACTCTTGTATAAACAATGGTATTTACCAGATCTTCTTGAAATGGATTCAACAAATAACTCATTGCTGAATATGTTATCAACGGTAAGTGTTCACTTTCGCCATCGATACAAAAAAGTATTGAATCTTCAATGTCGAATGGTCTTGTTTTGCATTTCAGAATGTGATAACCGAATGCTTGGCCTACTATGCATCGATTCAAGTGTCCGATCAAGATAAAACCGGTGCTACAAATATGATGAAAATTTTAAAAGAGCAACTACCGCAAATTGCAAAATATTTTGACACGCATTCCCTTGAAATAATCGAAAAATTACTCAAACATATGTGGGACGAAGTAGAATTTCGTGCTTATTTTGACACAGAGGTCGAATTTATTTCTGATAAACAAACAATTGACTACAACATCTTCATGAAATCGCTGCAATTTCTGCAGGTAAGTGAGGTTGATTCTTTGGATGACTTGGATTGAAAATTGATATAAATATTTTATTTTTAATTTTAGCGAAAAGCTTTCAAATCATCAAATCTCATACATCTTTATTGTGAGATGATGCCAAAAAATGTTGTCAACACTTTGTACTCATTGAAACTGGAATTGCAAAGATCCATTTGTGAAGAGATCAAAATGTGTCAAATGTTTCGTGTCTGTGTGTTTATTGATATAATCGTGGATTTTCTGATTGAAAATGCTAATAAAAAGGAGCGATCGGACGTTATTGGATTTTTCGTCCGGGATTTCATTTATTTCATTGGCAATACAATCACTAGCGAATGCAGTGACAAATTCAAATTAGCCACATGCAAATATTTCCGTAAATTTTGCGAAAAGATTTTACCAACATGCGCTGAATACTTTCAAAATCATTTGAATTACATCGTATCGATGCTGATGCCAATGGCAAAAAGCAAGTCACAAACAAAAATCTCAATTGCGGCCATGGATTTACTTCAATTTCTGATCATCAGTCAAAAGACAGTGCTGAAAACGGCCATCGGTAAATTGGACAGCTTCCCCAAACAAGTGGAATTCAATGAACTTTGCAAAATTCAAAACGAGATGAAATACAACGGTAAATCGTTCACATTACTTGAAGAAATCGAATACTTTCTTTCGGTTGACAAGCGCAAAGTTGAAGGTCTATTGTCATTGAAGGAGCATGTAAGTAATGAATGTGATTTATTTCCGAAATGTAAGTTTATTATATGGTGCTGTTCATGTACACAGTTGTCAAAGAAGAAACAAGAATTACAAGAGATATACAAGACAATTTACGAAACCCGTGGTTTTTCGGAAGATTGTGAAAAGAGCCCCATTCATCGATTGATATCGGCACTACTGGCCCATATTGTTCAGAACGTCGATAGTGAAAAGAGCTTAATAGCAGCCAAATGCTTAGGTGAACTCGGCCCAAGCGATCTTGGATCCATCGCGCTGAAGTTTGACGTTCAATTGCAAACATACAAAATTGTAAGCATGAACAAACATTTTTCATTTATTTATTAGGAAAATACAAATTCTTCGAAATATAACCATTCCGCCATTTTTAGTGCAATGAATTTGATGAAGCTGTTTCTAATTTATGCGAGCATGCAATGGACAAATTGAACGGAATTTTCATTCATAGCGATGCAACAGTTTTACAAGCAGCAGCTGAAGCTAGCATTCATTTGCTGGAGTCCAGTAAGGCGAGTGAATTCTTAGGTAAACTATATTCAATAGTATTTGTTTTTATAGTGGTTGGGTAATTTACTGAAGAAACATTTTCATTTAATTTACAGTACAATATCCGCTTTTGGGTGTATTTGAAACGAGTGCTGTGCGCCAAATACCACTCAAGCTAAGTGAGAATAATCTCGATTTTGAGAAGTTATTCAACGATAATGCATTTCATTCGTCCCACTCAATTTGGGTGAAGCAATTAGCTGTTGAATTGTTTACATTGTTTGGTAATGAACCACTGGCACATGTGGCGGCAAAGCAAACATCATTTTCAACTGCTATGGTTCCATTGTTGATCAAAACCTTGTTAACAACCAAGAATGCCAATTATTATCGAACTCTTGAAAAGGCGATCAAATCATTCTTTCAAAAGACTTTTGAAAACTTGAGCGCCAACAAAATCAATGAGGTAATCAATAATTCTGGATTTCAATAATTTCATCCATTAACATGGGTCAATTTTTTTTTAGATCGCAAACACTCCTGTCTACTTAAATAAAGTGTCAATTAGACTTATGTTAAATGTAGCTGAATGCGTACGGATGCACAATCAGGCGCTCTTTGGTTCTGCACAAAATCTTCAAGTTAATTTGAATAATTTACACATTGCCAAAGCGGCCCTATTTTGCGAAGCACATTTTACAGCCATATTGTATGGTGAATTATCATCGTACGAAAGTGATGAGACTGAAATTCAATCGATCATGAAAAGTGCATATCAATCAATCGGTGAAATTGATGCGGTGTCTGCATTCTTGGATCCAATCAAACACAAGACGCAATACTTGGAAGTGAATCGATGCTGGAACAAACTATTGATTGGCGTTGATGCGCAAACCGATGGCTTTACTGAATATTCGAGATACTTAAGCGAAGCTGGTCTTTATAATTTGGCAAATAAATTAAATATGAGCAATAATTCAAGAAATTATGAATGCGCATGGCGACTACAAGACTGGGGAATTGCTGAAGGAAGTGCGGACCATTCGTGCACCACAAATCAAGATCCAACGAACGAATTTGATAAATACCATTATTTTGCATTGAAAAGTGTACAGCAAAGAGATCAAATCGGAACCAAGATTAATGTTAAACGTGCATTTGAGGGAGTGATAAAAATGTTTAAACAATCGAGTTACGAATGTACCAAAAATATCTACAAAAATCTCATGATGTTGCATCTATTGCAGCAAATTGAGGAATTCAGCGGTGTAAGATAATGACATTGTTTTGAAAACCATCCCGAATTTAATAATTGTTTAAAAATCGTTTTTTTTTCACCATATTTTAGATTCAATTTCCGAACAGTGACGAAGAAAATTATGAACCCGATTTTGTAATCAACAAATGGAAATATCAAGATCAAATTGCATCGTGTGGTTTCAATTATCGCGAACCAATATTGGCACAACGTATAACATTGCTTGAATCGGCTGGTGTTCGTGCCAAACGTAATTTCGAGAAAGTGTTCAAATTCGGCGATGGCATTGATCAAATGATATTGAATCTGGTTAGTGAATGTCGAGAGGAGGGATTTTACAATTTGGGTGAACGATATTTATCAACGTTGTATAAAAAGAAATTAAATCGCGAAATGAATGCCAGAGCGTACATTGAAGATGCCCAATTGAATTGGAGCCAAGGCGAATCGGAAATGGCACAAAAATTAATTGAAAACATCATAAAAGACATGTTTCCATCATTTACACGAGCAAAAGCAATTGGAATGATGGGCGAATATTTGGCCGAGGCACGGTTAGAAGACACCAAAACGATCATCAATGATTACTTTGTTTTATCGAATAAAACATCGGGTGGTATTAAAAAAAGTAGCGATGCTATTAAACCGGACAGTCATTATTATTATCCGCCAGAAGTACGAGAACGACGACATTTGGAGAATAAAAAACGCAACTATCATGCCATTGCCAAATGTAGGGTGTCAATTATTTATTCCTTTATTGACTTCATTTAAATAATGAAAAATAAATCAACAAATATCATTTTAGATGCGGATCTTGAATATCAACAAATTGCTGCTTATAAAAAATCATCTGAATTCGAGAAAAAAATGACAAACATTCAAAAAAATCGCGCCATCTTGTCCGAAATGAAGAAAAAGAAAATGAGCCTAACTAAAGATGAACAGAAAACATATATGCAAGTGGATAAAGTCATTTCGATTGATGATACAGATGTAAAGTCAACGAATACAGAATACATGAAATATTTGCATATGGCTGTCGATGGATACATTCAAAGTCTATTGCTTGAAAGTGAAAACGAGGCGAATAACTCAACAATGTTCCGTTTGTTCAGTTTGTGGTTTTCAAATAGCAACGATCAAGTTGTTTTAACTGAAATTCAAGATTCGTATAGCAAAATTCCAACGTACAAATTTATACCACTTATGCCACAAATTACCACCCATCTCAGTACCGACGGAATTCATGAGGTCATTTCAGATATTATTTGTAAGTTATTGTGATTCAATCTGTTTTGTGTGGAATCGTTTATATATTTCTTTCAATCGAATGTTTCTTTTCTTCAAAAATAACAGTGCGTTGTGCTTTACAACATCCACATCATGTGCTTCCAAAAGTGTTGGCACTTGTTAATGCATTCAAAGACGATCGATTCATCGAAGATGTAAACAGCAAGTCAGCGATATCGAGTTCACCGAGAACGGATGCCGCCGCCAAGTTACTGCAAATAATGAAAGGTTACAGTGCACTTCGGGATATTATTTGTGAAATGGAACGAATGTGTGAAGGTTAGAATATTTGTGATACATTCAAAAAAATGAAGAAAAAAAAACATAAAAATCTCTTTTCTCTTTCTATAAAGTTCTGATTCAGTTGGCTAACGTTGAAGTAAAGACTGCAGTTCGAGAATTCGGACCGGCTGGACCGATTCGTCATCTACGTGACTTGGATTTGATACATTGTCCAACGGTGCATCTTCCAATAAGCATTTCAGGTGATTATACAAAGACAAAAGTTGGCATTCACAAGTGGAAGAATACATTCGATCGACCAGGTGGCATAAATGCTCCAAAACGAATCGAATGCATTGGATCGAATGGCCGCCAGTATTCACAATTGCTGAAGGGAAAAGATGATTTGCGTCAAGATGCCGTTATGCAACAGGTCTTCAATATTATGAATGACATGTTGAATCAGTCGAAAATTACCAATAAAGATCGTTTGCATGTACGAACCTACATCATTGTACCGCTGTCACAACGGAGCGGCATCCTGGAATGGTGTGAAAACACAATGCCATTGACTGACTATTTAGTTGGTAATTCGAAATCTAAAGGAGCACATGAACGTTTTCGCCCAAATGATTGGACACCCAAAGAGTGTCGAGCGAAGCTAAGTCAAACACCACTGCGCAAAACACCAATGGACGATATTTTTAAAAATTACAAAAAAATTTGTGAGAAAATTAAGCCAGTATTCCATCATTTCTTTTTGGAACACTATCATAATCCGGGCGTTTGGTTTGAACGTCGAATGGCATATGCTCATAGTTTGGCAACAACATCGATGATTGGCTACATTCTCGGCATTGGTGATCGTCATGTTAGCAATATTTTGATTGATAAAACGACGGCCGAATTGATTCATATCGATTTTGGGATTGCATTCGAGCAAGGAAAATGTTTACCCACACCGGAGTTAATTCCCTTCCGTTTGACACGAGATCTGGTTTCAGCGCTTGGACCATCTGGCGTTGAAGGCATCTATCGCAAATCATGCGAGAAAACAATGGAAGTTTTACGACAAAATAAATCAACAATTCTTACAATTGTTGAAGTATTATTACATGATCCATTGTATACATGGGCTTTAACCAGCAATCAAGCATCGAAACGACAACAAACACATGTTCAGATCAATGAAGGTAAATATCGCATTTACATACATTTCTTTTTGAATCTAATCTGAAATTAACATTTACTTTCTTTTTCCGTTAACATTACAGAAGATGACTTGAATACGCTGGCTCAGCGAGCATTGTCACGGCTAGAGGAGAAACTGAATGGTAAACATGTTATTTTCGATTATTTTCCGATTACTTATCGATTATTTTAAATTTTATTCTTTTCTTTTGTGATTCCCCCCTCAGGTAAACATGTTAGTCGTAGTGATGCGATTTCTGTGAAACGCCACGTCGAGATTTTGATTAAAGAAGCAATGAACGAAAAACTTTTATGCCGGCTCTTTGTTGGATGGCAACCTTACCTTTAAATAACAGTTTTATTTTCTTACTCATTACTATATTAAAATTGAAAAACATATGACATGTAAAATCAACCACATCCGAAACCCATGTAACATTTATTTACTTTTTGCAATAAAAACAATTTATTAAAGGCCACCAGTGACCTCAATTGAAGCACCGTTTACATAGGAACTTTTATCCGATGCTAAAAATGCAATTACTTCAGCTACTTCGTCCGGCTTACCAAAACGTCTTAATGCACACTGCATGGTCATAATGTCTTTAACTTTTTGTGGCACCGATTCAGTCATTGGTGTATTTATGAATCCGGGCAAAATACAATTTACTCGAATACCAAATTTACCAAATTCTTTTGATGCTGTTTTCGTTATCGCTTCAACGCCTGCTTTGCTCGACACATAATTCGCTTGGCCGATATTTCCCATCTTACTAACGATACTACCGATATTGATAATTGTTCCATTGCTTACATTTTTCTCTACCATTGCATTTGCACAGCTTTGCATAATTAGAAATGTTCCCTGAAATGATAAAAAAAAGTGATCAAAATTCATGAGCTCAACGATTTGAAATCGTTTGTAAAGGAGCTACAAAGTGAATTTCACCTTTAAATTGACCCGAATGACATCATCAAAATAGTCTTCATCTAATTTTAAAATGAAATTATCTCTGATTATTCCGGCTGCGTTCACAATAATTGTTGGTGGTGCATCGAATTTGTTGAGAATATTTTGAAGGCCATTTTGAATGCTTTGTTTATTTGAGACTTCCAATTCAATAAATTGATTGTCTCCACTTAACGAATTGGCCACGTCTTTTGCTGCTTCGGCATTTCGATCAGCAGCAACAATGGTAGCACCATCACGATTTAACAATCGACAAGCAGCTCTACCAATCCCACTTCCAGCACCTGTGAATATTAATCCCTTGTCAAATTCAAACGCAAAACTATAAAAACAAAACTTCTAACCGATAATCAATGCAATTTTGCCACTCAATGGAAGACTCATGATGATTACAAAAATATTTACTAAATAATAAATCAAAATAAAAAATTGTCAACTTTCGTTCTTTTTCAATCAATTTTAATGATGATAATAAACAGTGTCGTCAAATATAAAAAAAACACATACACAACAAAAAAAGGTTGATGATCGGTCTTGTCGGTTGCATACTTGTCATTGTTTAGTCAAAACAAATGTGAACGCAGCCTTATTGACGAACTTCACAGTGGTCATTGACAATATGTCAAAATTCTCAGTTTTACTACAAAACGAACACTAAGTGAGTAACAGCAATTTATAGTTTATTTTGTAAACAATGGCTGATCCGCTCAGTTTATTACGGCAATATAATATAAAAAAGCGTGAAATTATCGAACGCGAAGGACAAATTATATTTGGTGAATTTTCGTGGCCGAGAAATGTGAAAACCAATTATCTAAAATATGGGTATGTATTGCGACGCAATCGAAATAACAACATCAAAACTGCATAACATAAATGTTAGGTTATGGTTTCATGGAAACAAATTTCTTTTTTTCTTTCTCAAAAATACGTGGAATTTTTCATTTGTTTTTTTTTTTTTTTTTTTTAATGTGATTTTTTTGCTTGTATTTATTTAGTTCGGGTAAAAAGGGAGCTCCACCAGAATATTACACACTTGAATGCTTGCTGTACCTTTTGAAAAATGTACAGCTTCAGCATTCCGTGTATGTGCGTCAATGTGCCGTAAGTATATCAATTTCTATTTCATAAAATTGTAATTTATCTGATTCGAATAAAAAAATCGTGTAACATTTATAGGCCGAAGATATACCAGCCGTAAATCGTCCCGATCGAAAAGAATTATTGGGCTATTTAAATGGTGAATCATCGTCATGTGCGAGCATCGACAAAAGTGCACCGTTGGAGATTCCAACCCAAGTCAAACGTCCGCTCGAAGGTGATGGTTTGGAAAATATTGCGAAAAAAGCGCGTTATGAAGATACACAAGTGCAAAAAGTGCGTGAACAATTAGCAGCACGTTTAGATGTTAACAAAAAAGAACAGGCTGTCAATCTTGACAACATTAAATCATTGTCGGAGGCGATGTCAGTTGAAAAAATTGCGGCCATCAAAGCAAAACGTTTGGCCAACAAACGTACCACCATCAAACGAAATGATAATGACGATGCAATGGGCACCGATTTACGTGCCATTCTTGATTTTGATGTGGATTCAACAAAGGATATTATAAGCCGTGAACGACAATGGCGTACACGTACCACAATGCTACAAAGTACTGGTAAAATGTTTGCAAAAAATATTTTTGCCATATTACAAGGTATTAAAAATCGCGAAGAAGGACGATCGAGACCGATGCAACCACAAAATCGTTTACCAGAACCGGCACGAATCATACGACCAACACCACAACCAGCACAATATAATCGGTACGATCAAGAACGTTTCAATCGTCAAAAGGAAGAAACGGAAGGTTTCAAAATTGATACAATGGGTACATATCATGGTATGTCATTGAAATCGGTGACCGATGGTTCGGCATTGCAAAAGAAACAACAAATTGCAATGATGCCACCCGGACGACCGAAAGATATTAATCCGGCACATCAAGGCATGAATGCACAACAACAAGGCAATAAACGACCGTCACGAACACCAATTATTATTATACCAGCAACAAATACAAGCTTGATCAGCATGTACAATGCAAAAGACATTCTACAAGATCTTCGGTTTGTTTCAACGGATGAGAAAAAGGCACAAGGATGTCCACGTGAAAATGAAATTCTATTGCAACGACGTAAAGATGGCAACGTTACTGTGCCGTATCGTGTCATTGATAATCCATCAAGATTATCACCACAAGATTGGCATCGTGTGGTTGCTGTTTTTGTTATGGGGCCTGCATGGCAGTTCAAAGGATGGCCATGGAATGGGAATCCCGTTGAAATATTTTCACAAAGTAAGTGCTCGACGATGACTGCTATAAAATGGATTGATTTAATGCATGTTTTTTTTTCAATATTTTCAGTTTGTGCTTTTCACTTACGTTTCGACGAAATGAAATTGGACGCAAACGTTGCACGATGGGCGGTTACGGTATTAAATTTGTCACGAACCAAACGACATTTGGATCGAGCAGCTCTTATGACATTTTGGGAACGATTGGATAGTTATATGATGAAAAATAAACCAGATCTTCGATACTAATTTTATTGATTATTGTGTTAAAAAAAAACAAGCAACAAAGAATCAAATTGTTCTGTTGGTTTAAAAAGAAAACTGTATTCGTATATAGAATAGACAATTTTCTCTCCCCTCGAAAAAAAATATACGAGAAAAATTCCATTTCATTTAACCATATAGAAAAAAAATACATTCTTTTTACATTATAATGACACGCCATTTGCAAAACATCAAATGAAATAAAATTATACGAAAATTGAATTAAAAAACGATGGCAAACATTTCATGTATTTAATTGTTTTTGTTTTTATTTGTCCGTTCGAATTGAAAGTGTCGAATAATTCAAATCGCCGCTGATTTCAATTTTTTTTTTCAAGTTCAGATTGCTCCAAGAGAGTACAACCAAGTTTTCAGATTTGATTGGTTTCACCGCAGATATCCGTAAATCCAAGCAATTTAGCCCAGTTAAGCTACCACAAGCAATAAACGTCAATAGTCCGAAATTTCAAACAAATATTTTTCAGTTTAACCATTCTAATGTTATACCATTTTAGAAAAAATATATTAAAAAATAATGTAAAAATCAATGAAACATTTTGAGTGAATTTATTGAATGGTTTTTTTCTTGATTGAATGTTATAAAGACAACATTAGTTTGCATTCGGCTGACATCCATGTTTCTCAAAAATGCATGGTACAGAGTCGGCTAATCGAAGCTTAGATCGGATTTCTCGGCGAACAAATTCATGTGCAACAGACGTTGACACCCAAATGGCTATAAAATTTGATTTTTTTTTATAAATTACAAAAAAAAAACGGTTATTAACTCAATTACCAATTTTGGTGAATTTCCAGCGATTATGAAAAATGACGCCACATATTGATGATGTGCATGAGAGTTTTTCTTCAATTAGTAGTAACAATGTATCGAACCATAGTCGGCTGACTTCGTCGCTTTCAACGCGTTTTTCGAGTGTGATGACCCACCTTCCACCTTGTGAGCAAACAAAACGTTTACAAATTGCTTTATATGTGAATAGATACTTGAACTACCATTTTGATTATGTTCATCTTCCCACATTGGACGTATTGTGCTTCGAAACAGTGCATAATTACAGCCCTCACTAATTTCCGTTGGCAATTTGATCGAATTAAATAGGATCCAAAATTCTTCAATCGATTTACAAGCAGCCACTTCGTGAAAGCACTGTTCCCATGACTTATCACATTCCTTTTCAAAGTACCACAATGACCATTCGCTTCTAAGCAAACACGCTTTCGACATTTCCGATTTGACATTCGAAACACCTAAATCCTATATAAATACAATAAAATGAATTTCAAATTTTATAAATAAAAAAAGGTCTTCACTCACAACCAAATTTAAAGCCATCTCAAAAGTGTGGAATGTTTAATCGACAAAGTAAAAACACATTAATATTACAAACTAATTGAAACAATCAATCAATGGTGTCTTTATTTTATTTTGGTTTTTTTGAAAATCAAACATTCATCGAAAAATCATTTTCAATTAAAGTTAACATTGATTGTAATAGAAAAAGAAATTCAAACATATTTTCGATTGTTGGATTCGAAATGAAAATAACGATATATATAGTACAGGGTATCTTAGTTTTTAGTTCATTTTTTGCCTTCGACCATTATTATGTGATATCCAAATTTAGTTTTAATCGGTGGATCGGTATAAACCTATTTTGAAGAGAAGTAAATGAAAAAAAAAGAATAATCAAAGCATTGATCGAGCGAATAAAAAACAAAAAAAAAATGAGTAAAGCGAGTTAATTTCATAATTACAGGATTTGCTACAGTTGAGATGGGTAATGCGAATGCGGCATCTTGGAATGGTCCAACCATTGCTCCGCGAATTTGCCAACCAAGATCGCCACCCTGACGAGCTTTGTCCTCGCTATAAGCGGCCGCAACATCCGGAAATTTTTGACCAGCTTTTATTTTTTCCAATGCTTCTAAGATTTTACTTTGTTTTTCGCACAAAATATGACGCACTTTTACAGCATTGCCGCCTTTCTTCTCTTTACCGGCTGCACCTAATTGTTTACGAAACCAAACAATGTTATTCATAGCTCTTTTCATTAAATGTAAAGGATTTACAAAACATTACCTTTATCATCGCCGCCACCACCTTTGGCCGATTTGCCGCCTTTATCCTTTGAACCACCGCCACCTTTTGCATCCTTCTTTGGTGCCATGACTATCAATATATAAATCAATCAAAATAAATGCATACGCTATTGGTTCAAATTTAAGGTTATGTTATTCTGACAAGTATGAATAATATGCAGTCTTGCATAATGTGAATCTTTTTTATCGACTTTTTTCATTCAAAAAACAGTTTTTTTTTTGCTCAGTCATTTCATGTGAACTATGAAACGAAATGTAACGAGCAATTAAATGGAAAATTCTTAAGAAATATTGTCTTCAGTCGTGGTTCTAATAATAGATTATGGTTTGCAAAGCAAAAATGAAAAAAATGTACAAAATATGGAGTATACAAGTGTCAAGCTGAAATAGAAACAATTTAAATTTGTCTGTTGAATATCCATAGTAAAATTGAAGCAAAAGAAATTAATACGAATAGAGAGTAAAGTAAAAAAAATTGCTAAAGTAATTTTCCAAGAATTTGGTCAATAAAAAGTGTTTTGATTTGGATGTTGAGTACAAATTTCCAATGATAAACATCACATTGTCGTTGCCATTAACATAGCTCAATATATTCTCTTTTTTTCACTCTCTTCTTTCTACATTTGTGTGTGCTCTCTGCCATCCGTTCAATATGAATATGGTCATGGCAATATTTAAAGGGAAATCGCTGAAATAGTGAGTAAAAGAGTGATATTGCGAGGCGCAATGCAAGCAAACGGTTAAATTATGCTGCATCGCTCTCCTTCTCTCTGTTTATCTCTTCAACGCCAGGTTTGTTTTGTTATATTATGCGATCGCTATTTCTATTGCGACAAATTCTGAGAACAAAGTTGACAAAGATTGCATTGCTCTGCCGAATGCGTTCGTTATAATTCATATGGCACTCAATCAGAATGGACAAGGTCTGGTGCGACGACAATGTTTTCATTGCTAAAATGGTGAATTCAATGTTTTCCTAATGAAGAATTTTCCCTCTTTCGTTGTAAGTGTGTACGCGTTTTTATTGTTGTTGTTGTTATTTCGCTCAGACGGTTTTTAATCTCTCCAGCGTTTAGTCATTCAATGTGAATTAATATAATTTGTCATTAGCGCTTTCTGTATGTGGAACTAAGGTATGCATTCGCCACTCTGTCTCATTACATGAGTATGTCTCTTGATTTGGTCAAATGAGTGAAGCGAACGTTTTAAATCAACGAAACAGTAGCGAACAGAAAAAAAATGTATGCAGGAATTTTATAGTGCATTCATGCTTTTCGTTTGCACGGAGCAAATTCCAAGTTTACGTATCGCTTTTTTTTCGTTCTGTGTATTTTTTTTTGCTCTGTATGGGGTCGCTTTGCATCGATCGCATTTTCATCATCATCGTCGTTGCTTTTCACCATATTTGTAAATGCAAAATTTTAAATGTAGAAAAAGCGTTTCAAACCGCACAAAACAATATACGCGAGAACAAAGTCTATAATATCTTTATAAAAATCGACTACAAAATAAGTTCTGGATTGTCATTTATGCGCAAAGATGCCAGTGCAATGTGCACTATACAACATTTATAATCACTTCGAAGTATATGTGAACGCTGTATGATATGAATTGCAATTGATTTTAGACTTTTTTTTTGTTTTACGTGTAGTTCATAGCAAAATGCCGAGACATCGATCAACGCCAAAATAGATCACGTTGATTATTTTCGTTGAATAAAATAAAACTAAAGCTTAACTTCAAAAACAAAAAACCCAGATCATTCCGGTCAATAATAAATTGTCTCGAATTAATGGCGAAATAACTCATTTTCATTGCTTCGATGTAGTATATCTGGAATAAATCAAAATCAAATTATAAATACAAAAATGAAGAAAAAAAGATCCGCAATCCATCGATTAAACCATTAGATACGGTTGTCTAACTGTGAAAGCGTTCAGTTCATTCTCTCTGATTTTTTTTTCACCCGTTGATAATGTATATCAGTTTTCATAAAACATCAAGCGAATTAATTGCCTTTTCTGCTTGTTCTTCAATTTAAAATGCGATTATTTTGATGGCAAACTTTGTGTAGAAAAAAAGGACAAAAGTTTTTGAATCGGCTCAATAATTGGATGCAGCTCGAGCACCATGAACATTTGCTTTTTTTTTTTTTTTTTTTTCAAATGATTTTGCACAAATATGGCCATATGAAATGTGTACGCATGAAATGCGTTTACTTTTAAATTGCAATTGAAAAGACATTATGCGGATCAAAAATGTAAGTAAAAGATTGTGTGCGTAGCGCGCCGCGGTGTGATTCAATTTTCTTTTTTATTGTTTTCAATTTGAAATGAAAGAAAAATAAAAATCATCATCAAATCAAATCAAAATGTGAAATCTCATGACTGAATTTGTCGCATGGTGTATCGTTGCTTGGCATGGGAGACATATGAACCATTGATGTACCTATATTTAGTCGCTTTGACTTTGGTGCTTTTCACAAATCGAATGTATTGCGCTCATCGGCGATTTTATGGCGAGAGTTTGTCGAGAGATGCATTCACGCAGGATATATCCGATGTTATAGATTCAATTCGATTGAAAAGAAGTGATAACATTTATGCTTTGTGGCGATTTTTTTTCCATTGAATATACCAACTGGCGATTGCAACTACATTGGGCATTTATATTTTTATTGGTTGAAATTTTTTCTTTCTTTCTATTCTCTCATTTCTTTTTCTGTCTCTCTTTCGATTTTCATTTTGTTACAATTACGATTGATACTAAAATCTAGCACTAATTGATCGATTGGAAATATACACGTTCATATGGCAAACGCTCAACTAAATAACCCAATAAAAACGCTTAACGGCAAAGGAATCACAAGAGATCAGCATTTGTTGTTATTGTTGATGTTATTTTCTATATGTTCAGCTGTTGCAGTTGCATCTCGGCTACAAATATTGACGCAAATCGAAAATCAAATAGACTGAACTGTTCGAAGCATAACCAATAAATTGTCATCATTTTCTATAGATGAATTATAATCAGTAAATTAATCTCAACAATATATAAAATAATTACGATTCATGTACGCATTTGCCGTCCATCCGTCCTGATAATGTGTATATGCGACAATTGTGGCAGATTGCAACTACCATATTTTTGTCCTTATGTCAATTATATTGTTAAAGAAAAATCAAAACACCGAGACTTTTTTGGACTGTACTTCTCTCTCAATATGGATGGATGCTCTTTTTCTTTATCGTCGTTTTTCTTTCATTTTCATGGTTCGATTCTTTTCATTCTGAAAGTGATTTTTATACGGTTTGTGGATGCTGTTGCGTCTCTCTTTCGATCCATCGCAATGTTAGGGCATGGCATTCGAGACCATCTCGATTGTTTCTTTTTTTTTACTTTTTACGATTGGCAAATTAATTTATTGAATGTATATAGAGAGTGTTGTTTTTGATATAATATATATTTATTTACTACATTTGTGCTCTCTGAATCGGTGAACATAAATGGAGATTGCAAAGCGCAAAATAACGAGGAAAGTCTGTAACAGAAATTTAAACGATGTGCATTTATGATGAATATTGTTTGGCATTTTATCTGAAAACAGATAATATGTTACATTAATGACGAAACAAGCGAAAAACGAATGACGAGCCAGTGCAAAAGCGACCACTGTTCATTTGTGGCCATGCGTGTGTGTTTTTTCTTTTTTTTTTAGCGGAATGAAAATGCAGGCAAAGTAAAAATGAAAAAAAAAAATGCAACGATAAACACAGAGTAAAAAAAAACTAACCAAACAAACATGATCGGACAACAGCAGCAGTAGCAACAACAACAATAAAACAACAGACACTCAACTTAAAAATGCCCTACTGATGATGCCACATTTAACTGATGCATTCTGCGTATCTCGCAGTATTTATTAATAATTCATGGATTATTGTCCGTTTAAAATAAAGGTATTTCGCAGATGGAATCAGTACTCTAGAGTATTTGTTTGTGGCCAACGATATCGACAATTTGATATTTTATAAATGTTTGTGATGCATGTGTGTGGTGGACTGCGTATCGATTTAAAAGAAGTTGTCCCCATCACGTTTGATTGTTTTTGTATGACACATAATGTATGTGTGTTGGTCTGTTCAACTTCAAAATCATAATTTTTTTTTCTTTATTTATGTTGTCCTTATTCATCATTCTTTTGGCAGTTTTATCGGCATTTTTGTTTCACCTCACTTTAGTGTATATAACGGTAAATCTTTTTTGGAGTCTTTGTTCGTGCATAAAAAAAATGCCGCTAAAATAACATGTAATACATCATTATATCGATCATTTTCGATCGAACTGAATGCAACTAAAACTGAAAACAATCAATTTGAATGAAGACACCGCGCGCTCTATCGAATGGACCCCATCGCAGTGTGCATGCCAAAAAGAAACCGATTTCATTGTGCAGAGCATTACAGCGATGACGAAACAACAGAAATTTTGAATAATTCTGTGAAATTCCAGCCACCGACCCGGCCCTTTGCAGCTCGATTACACAACAGCACCGAATAACCGTGTGCGGGTCAAGTCAAACGCTAATAATTCCGCATGTTCCATTTAATTCTCTGCTTATTAATGTTTACATTTTGTTTCGGAATAGTTTTCTTTTGTTTCGTTTAAAATGTTAGGCCATATCATTTCGTTGTTATTCGGTCAATTCACACAGACCACTAGAGCTCCTTTTTCGGCAATGGCTGAATGAATATTAAAAAAAAAACACAACAGCGACAATACGAAATGATGACAAAGAACACAAATAAAATGACAGTAAGCAAAATGTTTTTATTTTTTAGTTTCGTTCACATTGTTTCGCTTTGAGCGCAGCCGTAATACGCGGAAAACCATTTTGCAATCAGATTCTGATCTTTCTTCTGCTTCTTCTTTTTCTTCGTTTGCGTATGAGATTAGCACCGTTTCGTACAACTTCACGTGTTTTGTTTTTACCTTGAGATATGAGAAAATATTTGAGGAAAACACATTTTATACAGTTTAGCAATTATGATTTTAAACAAAAGGTAAACGAAACGGAATGAATTAAACGAAGATCTAGTTTCCGATTTTTCACATGCTTTATG